ATGTTTTAAAACTCCACACCATCCAAGTGGTAACTATGTGAGTGAAGGAAATGTTAATTAGCTTGATTGTGGTAATCATCTCACAAAGTATATATATATATCAAAACATCACTTTGTACACCTTAAATGTATAATTTTTGTCAAATTATACCTCAGTAAAACTGGAGGAAAAACATTTTTCTGCCCAAAAAACTTCCTTATAACTCATCTATCCACTCTTTTCAATTAACAGCTCTGAGATAGAACTCAAGAGCCAAAAGCTCACCCTTTAAAGTGCACAATTCAGGGCCTCCCCTGGTGGCGCAGTGGTTGAGCGCTGGGCTGCGAGGCTGCCCACAGCGGCGAGGGTCCCACAAAAAAATAAAATAAGAATAAATTAAGTGCACAGTTCAGTGACTTTTACTATATTCTGTGTGTGACCATCACAACTAGGAAATTCCTGAACAATTTCATCACCCTGGAAAGAAATACTACGCCCATGAAGCATTCACCATCCCCCCTTGCCTTCACACCATCCTCCTTACTCCTATCCCCTGTCAACTACTTATCAGCTTTCTGCTATACGGATTTACTATCTTGGGCTTTTCATATAACAGGATCACCTGGTACAATATGTAGTCTTTCCTGTGAATGAGATCGAACGATTGTCTTTTGTGACCGAGAATCATGTCTTGCAGGTTCACTCACCTTGTAGCATGTGTCTGTGCTTCATTCCTTTTCAGGACTGAATTCTATTCCGTTGCCAGGAAAGGCCATGTTTGTTTATCCAGTCATCCACTTCGGACACCTGGCCATTGTGAACATGCTGCTGTGGCCACTCACCGGAGCACAGGCTTTTCATCTTCTTGGGCACCCTCATAGGAATGGACTCACTGGGTTTAGATGTATGAGAAACATTCGAACTGTTGTCCACAGTGGCTGCACATCATTGCCAGCGCTGGCATGTTGTCTGGGCCACATCTTCATGGGCTAAAGTGCTCATGCAGCAACGCTTGAGTGTTCAATCAGCAGATGCTCTGAGCCCTTACTCTCCCCACCCTGAAGGTAGATATGAATCCTCTCTGACCTCCAAGACACTCCCACGCATGGGTGCGTGTATAGGGGTCTTTCATGCACATGGCAGCCCAGGCCTGGAATCCTGGAGATTCCCATTAGGGAAGGACTGAAGGTGGGGGTGGAGGGGTGAGACAAGGAACAAATTGTGGAATCTTGCCCTTCAACACACTGGGCAGGTGTGGTCTGAGCTCTCAGACCTTAGTCTAGGGGGCTGGAGGACTCAAGGCCACCTGCTCTGACACTTCTGCTCTGTGAGTGTCTTGCCCACTGAGAAACTTGGGCTCTTGTCTCTGCTTTCCCAGTGGATTTAGCTCCTGATGAGACTCCTCTTCCTTGCTAGCAGATCCCATTGTCTTGCCCTATCTTCACATGGTAGGGAGGAGAGAGGGAAAGTGAGTGGGCAAAGTCCCTGTAGGGGCAGGAATGGCCACTGAGCAGGTTTTCTGATCCCATGCAGACTGGGTAAAGGAGGAGTCAGAGTCCTCAATGGTTTTTTGCAGGTCTTTTATTGGGGTTCACCAGGCATATGGCAGGCAGGGGTGCTGGGGGGCCAGGAGGCTGGTAGGCCTCCCAGCCCCCAGCAAGTCCTCACTCTATCTGGGCTCCCTGGCGTTCTCTGCTTCTGCTTCTTTGCTTCTCTCATCGGCTTCTTTCTCAGCTTCTCCTGGCGTCCCCGTGATGCCACCCTTAAAAGCACAGTCTTAGCTCAGCTGAATCCCATCTACCTATGCCCACACCCTATTCCAGGTGCCCGCCATCAGGCATGCATTTAGGACAAGGATCCATCATCTATCCTGATGGCGGGAGGGCAGAAAAGCCTGACATTTTCTTTACCCTACAGTCCCCAATCCCTTTTATAAGGGCACTAACCCCATCATGAAGTTCCACCCTCACGACATAGTCGCCTCCCCAAGGACCCACTTTCTAACACCATCCCTTGGGAGTTAGTACTCAATATATACATTTGGGGAGGGTGGTGGGAATGCAAACCTTCAGCCCTGGCAAGGAAAGTGGCCTTTTCTCTCTATCTGCTGGGCGGCAGTTCCTCCTGCTCTCAGCTCTGGGACCCCAATGACCCCTCATTTCATTTCTCCAAGGGGCCTGAGGCAGGTAGTGGGAGCTTTGACCAGCTTGGCCTCAGTTTTGTACCCAGGGCTGGAGGGGTTCAGGCTTCTGAGCTCTGAGAATCCAAATAGCAGTCAGTCCTCCCTCCAGCTCTGGGGAGCCACACTGAGGCCTTGGTTTACCTGCCCTGACCTGAGAAGGCCCTCTGCTCCCTCAAGAGCTATTTCAGAACTTTGGCTATCTGGGGGTTGGGGAGGGCGGTGCACTGTACGCTGTAACTTGGGTAGGTGTAGTGCAAGCATACACAGGGCAGGTTCACTGTCAATTTGGGGCAGCTGGATGGAGTCCCGGAGCCCTCGGTGGATTTTACAGGCCTTTAATGCTCTCTCAGGGAACCGGGTACACAGGCACACCAGGCAGGGAGGCAGACATGGGGTGTGGAGGGGGGCTGGGAGGCAGGCAGGCAACCAAGCCCCGAGCTCCCCAGGCCCCCAGGAATTTCTGTGCTCTTTCTCTGGCCTCTCTCTGGCATTCTCAGTCTCATGTCATCCCGTGGTCTCTCCTCAGGGTGGTTATAGCCCAACGCAGTGATGCTGCTCTTTTACCCCTGGCCTCTCAGCACAGTTGTGAGCAATAACACACATGCTATCTGGGCTCAGGTGTCCACAATGATAGGCAAGCATGCCCCGTGCCCTCACCCCTCGGCCCCAGGCATCCACATTAACAGCGGGAGAGTACTAAAAAAAACCTGATTTTTTTAAAAAAGATTATTTATTTATTTATACAAGCACTGGGTACAGTCAGAAGTGCGGGAGGGTGAGAGAATTCACCAGAGCCAGAGGGGAGAGCAGAGCAGGCAGAGTGACAAAGTACACTGCTGAGGGGAGCAGCAGGCGGCAGGAGAGGTCTGTGCACCATGTGGGACCCTCACCCAGTGGCCGGGGACAGAACCGGCGTTGCAGAGGCTGCGGGCAGCTTTGCAACCCAGTGCTCAACCACTGCGCCACCGGGGAGGCCCCCCCCAAAAATCCTGATTTTTAACTTCATTTACCCTACAGTAGGTCACTTCATCCCTGACCTCTGTTTCTCTCCATGATGAGAGAGCAGGGGCTGGCCTGACACATTCTGGGATGTCTGCCTGCCTCCTGGCCTGTGGTTCATGACTTGAGGAAAGAGAACCTGTACAGCACTGAGAACAGCCTGTGGGAGGGGCCACTGGGCATGTCCTATGGGGTTTCTGATTTAAATCCTCGCATGGCCCCCGGAAAGGTAGTCCTAGTGCCACCTTCCTCCCATTAATGCCCCCACCAGGCTTGCCAAGGTGCACAGTTCTAGTAGTTACTGAGTAAAAACAATTCACTGCTTTCATGTCCAGCAATGACAGCTCCTCCCACAGTAGCTGTGATTTACCTTTCTTAGGCACTTGATATATTAGCAATGTGTTGATTTTTTTTACATGCATCACCTTTCCCTTCAAATTGGGGCCATTCCACTTTATAGGGAACCATCGAGATTGCCCTCAAAGGAAGTCATCCAGCCTGAAAAGTGGCAGGGCTGGGTAGCAAGATCCTAGGTCCTAATGTTATAGAGCAGCCCCGATATTGAATGGGTTCCTGGCTGTGGGTCCTCACCCGCGCTTAAAAGGGGCTTATGAATACTCCACTACAGGCACACACAAAAGGTTAATAAAAGGTTTATTTACAAGGGAAAAGGAAATAAGGAAAATGTACAACTCAGGGAGAAAATAGGGAAATAAAGTCTTTAATGCGTCCTACCCGATTCGCCGACCTGGAAACCCAAAAACCACTCTCTGAGCTGGCTGGTTGCTGCTCCAAAGCCCACGTGTCTGCCTTTATACCAATTTGCCTGCTTAACCCCACCCTCAGGTCCCAGCCACCTTCCCTTTGGTGGTGATGGGATTTGGAGTTCCCAGTGTCTTTGGCTTTGGCCTGGGGTGGGGGTGGAGTCCACAAAGCCTGTATGGAATTAGCTTTAGGACATCCTGTTCCCCCTAACACTAAGGCCTGGGATGGTGCAAAGACCCCTGAAGTGAGGAGGGAAAGAGGAGACCTCACTATGAAAGACTGGTGGAATCCCTTGCCATCATAAAGACTTGGTTTGTAAGAGCTTTGTCCCTATTACAACAATCCATAGTGCAGGTGAAAAGACACAGATTCAGATGTACATCTTCGATTCAGCATTTGATGAGGGTACCAGGCCTCCAAGCCCTCGAGGAGCAGGCCGCAGTTGGAGAGTCCCTCTTGATTTTGTCCAAAGTATGTCTACTCCCTGGCCCCTGGACTCCCTCCTAGCCCTCCACTCCCGTGACTGCCCGAACCTGCCACGGGGTGGGGAAACGAGAGAGCAGGACTGAAGCTCCAACACGTGTGGATTAGAATCCCGATGGCTGAGTGAACACATCCACTTAAATAACGTCCGTCTCATCTGCAACAAGATCAGCCTCTCCTGCAAAGAAGAAGGTGACCACGACCATTCCCCTGGTTATCGGAACCTAAATGGAACGAGGCCCTGCCGGCCTCCAGCCGCCAGAGGGCGCTGCAGACAGCTCGCAGGCACCTTCGATGGCCTCCCCCCCCCCCCCCCCGCCACTGTTTTGCTGCCGGTGGTTCCGGAAGTTGGGGCCTGAATGTAGCGGTGTCGGTTTCCACTTCCGGGGTGGCAGAGGCGGCGGCCGGGAGCCAGCCGCGATGGGCGGGAGGTGAGTAGGGAGGGTATGGATGTCCGGTTCCTCTGAGACCCTCTGCCGACACGCTCCGTGACTTCGAGCGGGTCTGGCCGGGGGATCGTAGGCCCCTTTTGGGAACCTCTGCGCTGATAGGGTCAGGCCCAATTTGTTGCCAATCTCCAGTGCTCCAGACCCCTGGATTCCTAGACCACCCCCTCTCCCCTCCCCGCCCCCAGACATTCAGATCTCCCGACTCCAGCCTCCAGAACTCCAGATCCCTAGGCCTCCAGGCTCCCAGTTCACCCTGGCCTTCAGATGTTGAATCCAAGGTGTCTTTCTGTACCAGACCTCAGACCCCAGACTTCTAGGCCCCCAGGGTACCCAGGCCCCCACCCCTCGTACCCCCAGGTTTCCAAACTCCAGGCACCCCAGTCCCTAGACCTCCCAGGCCCTCAGGGGTAAAGGGACAAATGAATGAGTTATTGAATGAAATTGACTCGGTGCTGGTCTTCTCAGGTGACACATCAGCGAGAAGCAGTGCGCGGAAGGCACAGGATGAATCGGGCCAAGCCCACCACTGTCCGCAGGCCCAGTGCTGCGGCTAAGCCTTCAGGTGTGTATCTTTTCCCTGTGGTGTGCTTCAGGGGCTTTCCAATCTCACTACTGAGCCAGAGAATGCTGTTTCTAGGATCTGGTTCTGGAAACATAGTGCTTGACCCTGGGTGGTTCTGGGAGTCTCTGGTGAATCCTCTCACCCCCCACATTCTGTACCTCTGGTCTGTACCCCAGTTGTTTGTTGTATGCATAAGTAAATAAAAAAAATCTTTAAAAAAAAAAGAAAACCAACAAACTTCTCTGCTCCCCTTCTCTGCAGGACACCCTCCACCAGGAGACTTCATTGCTCTGGGCTCAAAGGGTCAAGCCAATGAATCAAAGACAGCCTCCACCCTGCTGAAGCCTGCCCCTTCTGGGCTGCCTTCAGAGCGCAAGCGGGATGCTGCAGCTGCTTTGGCTGGTGCCTCGGCCCTGACAGGCCTCACCAAACGCCCCAAGCTCTCCTCCACCCCTCCTCTGAGTGCCCTGGGACGCCTGGCTGAGGCTGCAGTGGCAGAAAAACGAGCTATCTCCCCCTCAATTAAGGAGCCGTCTGTGGTCCCAATTGAAGGTAAAGTCAGTTCCTGCACCTTCCCAGAGAACGTACCCACAGCTTGTCAGTCCACTAGGGCTTTGGTAAGTGCCTCTTCCAGACTTGGCATCATTGGATACTTTGAGTTCTGCGGAGAATGCGAGAAGTTATCTGTGAGTTTGTTCTTGGAAGCGCTTCTGCAGGTGCCTCTGCTCAACTAGTGATGGGGATAGAGGAGTACAGTATAACCCGGGGAGGTTGGTGGGGGCGGGCACAGCACTGGGTCTGAGACTGCTGCCACATGGCAAGAAAAAGCTCTGACATTGGCATGTCCCTCCAGCAAGCCTCATGGCTTTCTTTGTGGAGGTTGAAATGAAATAATACTCCGGGTTCTTACCGGTTACAGAGATGCAAGCTATACTGTGTGCCAGGGCTTCAGCAACTAGAAGGTGCTGTGTGGGGTGGGGTTGGGGGTTAGTGGGTGTCTTTGCTCCCCAGTTCTGCCCTCATCTGGGGAGGAGCTGTGCAAGTGGATGCATTCCTGGGAACTGCTAGCTACTGTTCTGTGGGGGCTGTTCCACTCCTTTGTTCAGTTCATCTTTTTGATAGGCTCTTTTCTGAGCATTGGGGATAAAATGTCAACTGTGACAGACCCAACCCTTGTTCTGAGGGACAGCATATTCTAGTGGGTTCTCTCTACCTGTGATGAGGGCATTTGGTTTCTGTTCATCCTCTCTTCCCAGTGAAACATTTACCTCCTTTCTTTTTATTTTAGTTAAAAGAATAATACAACAATTTTAAAGAGAAATACAAAACTCAGCTGTAATTCCTCTCTTTACAAAACAGCTTTCCATTCTGTATGCAGCTGAAATTGCTCCTTCTGACTGCATTTTCTTCGACTGATTACTTCTGATGGCTCCACCATAGGTGGATCATGCCTGTTAAATATCAACCCAGATCCAGATGTCGAAGGTAGAGGTTCTCATGTGACGGCACTGGAGTAGAGCAGGGTAGTGGTAGGAGGCTGGGTCTTAAAGAGTGGACAGGATTTTGAAAGGCAGACAAGGATGTTGAAGAAGTGCTCAGTAGAGCTGGACATTCTGGGGATGGAACTGTGCCGAGGGAGCAGGCTAAACATGGGCAGCATGCAGTGGCCAGAACCTAGGCTAGGTGCTGGGCAGGGTGCTGAACTTGGTTCATTTGGTGGTAGGGAGCCCTGGGGTGGCAGAGCAGGGGACATCGCTGGTGCTATGCTTTGGGAGGTGAGTCAAGTTGGTGTCCACAGACCTCAGGTTGAAGGGCCCTCACTTGGTGAACGGTGAAAGCCATTGTGGGGGAGGCCCCAACTTGGGCCATGTTCTCTTGATTATTTGCTGGGCTTCGTTTTTTAGTATCCTTTCCCTTAAAGTTTTGGGGAAGATTAAATGAGATCTGGTTTTGAAAAGCATATTCTAAGCAATAAAGTACTTCACAGACACTTTCAGCAGGATAAAGAAAAGACTTAGATTTGGCCAGTTTTATCTGGCATTTGGAATCTTGTCCAGGCCAGGGTCTGTGATAATTCCAGTCTATTGTCTGCCCATTTGTTTCCTGGGAAGTGTTTGGTAAACATCAAATTCTCTGTCCTTGGTACAGTTAAGTTAAAAACTAGTAACAACACTCTCTCCACATGTTTGGATATTTAAAAACAATCCTAAAAAACTTGGGTCAAAGAAGGAAACAGTATAAATTCGGAAATCTCTAGACTTGGACAGTGACACCATAAAGAGCGGTGTGATAGAGCAGAGTATGGGGGGCGGGGGCGGGCACACAGAGAAGCAGGTGTTTCTTGTTATGGAGGGTGAGTGGGCTAAGGTCTAGCTGAAGGAGGACCCTCATTAAACCAGAGAAAGTGGGTGGAAGAAATACTGAAAATCAGAGCAGAAGTTACCACCACAGGGAAGAGACTAAAAACCCAAAGTGTGTTCTTTGCAAAGACTTAAAGATTCCCGGAAAGAGAGAAAGAGGCATCATGAGCTGCATTAGCGAGAGTGTCAAGGAACCTGGCACAATTACGAGAGAAAAGGAAGCTTACCAATGGCATTGTTCCTATTAATTTGAAAACTTAGCTAAAAATGGAGCAATCTGTAGAAAAGTAAATGTGTTGCAGGGGGGCAGATAACTCTAGGGATGCAGGAAAGGATCTGGAGTGACAGGTCAGCACACAGGCCACATGGTCTGTCCTGTGCAGCCCATAATTCTCTTGGTCATTTTGAATGGTGGCAACCCTGCCCTCTTCCTACCGCAGCTGTCACTGTGCAGTCCTCGGAGACTGGTCAGCTGTGGCACAACTGGGACCTGCTTCTGGGATTTAGATGGTTGGCTTGTCCTGTGGCTTTGAGGGTGTCCTCAGGCAGTCTGCTCTGGCTGCCACTCTGATCGGGCCTCTCTGTGCCGGCCAGTCCCGCCCACAGTGCTGCTGGATGAGATCGAAGCTGCGGAGTTAGAAGGCAATGACGACAGGATCGAGGGAGTGCTGTGTGGGGCTGTGAAGCAGCTGAAGGTCACCCGAGCCAAGCCCGACAGCACCCTGTACCTAAGTCTCATGTACCTGGCCAAAATCAAACCCAACATTTTTGCCACAGAGGGTGTCATCGAGGTGAGGACGGGGTGTCTCCTTCCTCTGTCCTGGGGAGGAGGATGGGAATTGTGAACAGACCCTTGGCTCTGTCTTTTCCCTCCCTCGTGACCTCTGCTGGAGGCACACTGGTTTGCCCTTGTGTGGGCGAGGGTTCCCCTGGTGACCTGTGCCAATCCTTGCAGGCTCTCTGTAGCCTCCTTCGGCGCGACGCCTCCATCAATTTCAAGGCCAAGGGGAACAGTCTGGTATCTGTGCTGGCCTGTAATCTCCTTATGGCTGCATATGAGGAGGATGAGAACTGGCCTGAGATTTTTGTCAAGGTGAGTCTGCCTCTCCTGAGAGCCTTGGTGAGGACACTGCATTGGGTCAAAGAGAGGGAGGGCAGATAACTGGACCCCTAGGATGGTCAGAAGCTGCTGAATGTGCCCTCTGCAGAGGACTGCCACTTGTTTCACCTGCACTGGTTACTGAAGTGTCCTCCTGGAAAGCCCCCTTCTGGAAAGCTAAGATTGTTTGGGGAAGCAATCATCTTGTTCCTTATCATAGCTCAGCTTGGGGACAGGCAGGAGTGAGCCGCCAGCCTGTGGGCTGCAGGTATGGTCTTCTGTCATTCACGCAGGTGTACATCGAAGACTCCCTGGGGGAGCGGATCTGGGTGGACAGCCCGCACTGCAAGACGTTCGTCGACAATATCCAGACAGCATTCAACACCAAGATGCCCCCCAAGAGCATGCTCCTTCAGGGGGAGGTGGGGCGCAGTGGAGGAGAACTGAGTGCAGGTGAGAGATTTGGAGTGGGCTGGAGAGAGGATGGGGTTGCCAGTGTGAAGGGAAGAACTGGGCTCACCCCTGTCTTGGGAGCCTGGTGTCGACATTGTTGCTCATGAGGTGGGTGCTCATGAGGTGCTGGGTCTGCAGGGAACAGCCCTCACCCCTCCCTCACTGAGGAGGAAGACAGCCAGACGGAGCTGCTGATCGCCGAGGAGAAGCTCAGTCCTGAGCAGGAGGGCCAGCTCATGCCCAGGTAGGTGTGCCGCACTCCCCTCCAGCGCAGTGTGAACGTGGCTGGGAGGTGGGTGGGTGGGCCTCTCTGTCTGCCTGCCCCCTTCCTTCCCTCCTTTCTTCCTCCTTTGCCCCCCGCTGGCCTAGGTATGATGAGCTCACGGAGAGTGTGGAGGAGTATGTTCTGGACATGCTCCGGGACCAGCTCAACCGGCGCCAGCCCATTGACAATGTCTCACGGAACCTCCTGCGGCTCCTCACTTCCACCTGCGGGTATAAGGAAGTGCGGCTCATGACGGTGCAGAAGCTGGAGATGTGGCTGCAGAACCCCAAGGTGAGCACAGGGGTGTGCTGTACCCTGTGGGGCACATGGTGTCACCCTTTGACTCCTGGGGGTGCTGAGGCCTATCCTGGCCTACCCTCAGCTCCCTGGCCTACCCTCAGCTCACCAGGCCAGCCCAGGACTTGCTGATGTCTGTCTGCATGAACTGCAATACCCATGGCTCCGAGGACATGGATGTTATTTCCCACCTGATCAAAATCCGTCTCAAGCCCAAAGTCCTCCTCAATCACTACATGCTCTGTGTCAGGTGAGGCCCAGGAAGGAAGGCCACGGGTGGCTGTGGTGGTGGCCCGGTCTTGTGCCAACTCTCCATTTGCTTGGCTTGTGTTCAGGGAGCTGCTGAATGCACACAAGGACAACCTGGGCACCACCATCAAGTTTGTGATTTTCAATGAACTTTCCAATGCCCGGAACCCAAACAACATGCAGATCCTCTATACTGTGTTGCAGCACAGCTCGGAGTTGGCACCAAAGGTAGGCAACTCAACTCCTGGCAGCCTTGCCATCTTGTGGTGGGAGCTTACTGGCAGCCCCTTCTGCACTCGTGGCTGCCACTTGAGCAGCCCTTAGTTGAGGGGACTGGTCTCAAGCCAAAGAGACCTCCAAGTTGCACTCAGGTTGGGGAGGAGCACGTGGCATCATCTGCAGTGCTGGGTGTTTGGGTACAGCTGGGTGGTGTGTTGCTGTGTGGTAGAGGGACTTGGAAGGTGGGGATAGCCTGTGCCCCAAAGAGCTTATGAAACATTTGAATTTGACTTCGAGAGTGGGTCCATCCATGATACATGACATCTTTCTTAGAAACTAAAGTTCAGAAGCAGCACCGAGCCCTTAAAAATCTGCCAGTTTTCAGACTGAGTCAGGTCTAGCCTTTCTGAGTGGCTGTCTTTCCGAAATGAAGCAGGTGTCTCTTTGCCCCCTTGGTACTTGCCTTCACACCCCAACTCTAAGAGTAAGTCCCTTAGATTCAAGGTTTCTCCTGAAGAGAACAGCGCTATTGCTGTTAACATAGACTAGACTCAGCAGCTCAGCCGTGTGTGAAACACCAAGGTAAACATGGGACTGGGCCTCTTGCTCAGCCCTCTGTTGTCTTGGAGCCCAGGGTTTAGTCAAGGTTGCCCAGTTTGAGCTGGGGGTGGGTGGGATCTAGGCCACCTTGTTTCTCCCTGCAGTTTTGGGACCGGGAATTGAGTGCACACCCTCCCAAAACCAGTGTTCATCTGTGCCCATAGCTAACAAGAACTTGCTCCCCTTGTGCCAGCTGCTCAGAGTTAAAGAAGATTGTAGCTCCTACTGTCCTTAGAGGGCTGTTGTCTGGGAACAGTAGATCTCAGCCATGTGAAAGACAATACAGTCAAGTGCTCAAGTGCCCGCCTGTGCGTTTGGGGATTTTTCTGGAAAGATTCTGGGAAGACTTTGTGCAGGGCTCTCTGACAGCAGACCTGGGACAGGATGGAGGCTGGTGGTGAGTGGTGCAGTCCCAGAGGGCATGGTTCCTGCAGCTCAACACTGTGCTCTCTTTGTGCCCTAGTTCCTGGCCATGGTGTTCCAGGACCTGCTGACCAACAAGGACGACTACCTCCGCGCTTCCCGGGCCCTGCTCCGGGAGATCATCAAACAGACCAAGCATGAGATCAATTTCCAGGCCTTCTGCCTTGGACTCATGCAAGAGCGCAAGGAGCCCCAGTACCTGGAAATGGAGTTCAAGGTGTTTTGGCCTTCCTACCCCCACAACTTGGTGGTGGTGTGTAGGCTTTCCTCCCTCTGGTCATACACTTGTGTGTGGCTGTCATCTCCCCATGCCATGTGTGTTGTGCTGGGCTTATGCACAACAATCAACCCCAGAGGGAAGGTGGGCGCTATTCTGCTTGAGGACTGAGGAGGGACTGCCTGGTGCCCCTAAGGGAATCAGCAGCCTCCAGGCTGGTGTGGAGATGGGGGCAGAGTTGTTGCCAGAGTTTCTGAGGTGGCTGAGGAGATGGCATGAATCGGGAGGCAGAACGGGCACAGCTAATGGAGGGGCAGGCATTTGCTCTGGGGAGATTTAAGAATCGGAAGGCACTGGGAGATGACACTACAAAGGAGTGGACGCTGGTTGTACAGGATCCTGACCGTCAAGCAGATGAGTTGGCAGGTGGCCTGGTATGGTGGTCTGCTTCTCGAGTGGGTAGACTCTGTTGACTGAACACTCTTCCTGTGGCCTGACCAAACTTTGCTCTTGTTTGGCCCTGCCCTGGCACAGTGGTGGGTTCTCTCTAGACTCACATCCTCCTATACTGTCTGTTTATGTGCTGGGGACCTGAGAAAGCCTCTAGGTATAGACCCTTCTAGAACACAAACCCTATTGTCCTTGCAGGAGCGGTTTGTGGTGCATATCACAGATATTCTGGCTGTATCCATGATGCTGGGCATCACAGCCCAGGTGAAGGAGGCCGGCATTGCCTGGGACAAAGGAGAGAAAAAAAGTAAGGATCTGGAATAAGCTGTACTCTGCTCAGGGGTCCTGTCTCAGACAACAGGGGGACAGGCCTGGTGGCAGTAGGTTCCCAGGGCTTTAAGTCATCCCCACCTGCCAATCCTCCCCCGGAGGCCTGGGAATAGGACAGGGAAGGGGCACAGCTCCTAGAGACTAAGGAGGCTCTACCAGTCTGTTTCCTGTCCTGCCCATCTGGGCTAGAGCACCCACTCCTGGCTCAGCACTGTTTGCTGACGGGTCATGTGTTCACCTGAATTCTTGCGCCTTTTGTGGGGCATTTCAGGCTTGGTGGCCCTTCAGTAAAGTGTAGGAAGAAGAAAGGAGCTGGTGTTGAAATTGGCCTGTTTTGTTCAGTTTCTCGCCCTGGAGGTGTGGCTGCAGGCCCTTCAGCTGATTGGCCGGCATGAATTACTTGGGATTTCATTTCTCCTCCCTCTTACTCCTTGTAACATTCATGTTCCTCCCTCCCTGTATGTGGCCATGGACCAGACTCTTGAGAGTGTTGCTGCACAGGCACACCATTAAACCTGCCCATCCTGTCCCTTTCAGACCTTGAGGTGCTGCGCTCCTTCCAGAACCAGATTGCGGCGATCCAGCGGGATGCTGTCTGGTGGCTCCACACTGTCGTCCCCTCTATCAGCAAACTTGCCCCTAAGGATTACGTGCACTGGTACAGACTGCATGTCCTTCTGCTTGGATGGCTTTGGGGAAAAACAAGCAGTTACTTCCCTGTGCTGACTCACAATGAGTGATGGGGTTTGCAGGATGGGCCTGTCACCTCCAGATATAAGCATCAGCCTCTGAAGAGCCAGAGGTGCCATTGTCTTCTTGCCTTGGGACACTGGATTGTCCTGAATGGGTGTCAGAATCCCAAGCAGAGTTTTCCTTTGGAGAGGGGGTGGAGGTGAGGTCCTACCTTGCTGGGGTGTCCCTTCTTAGACAGGTTTTGTGCAACGTCCCCAAAGAGGATTGCTGTTATGGGGACTTGGTGGTTAGGAATTAGGTGGTCCTGCTTCAGAACTAGCTGCTTCTGAGTTTGTAAAGCCTTTCTGGGGACAGAGGGTGGAGGGTCCCTGGATACCTGCTCCCTAACAACCTTTCTCCCCCTCCACAGCCTCCACAAGGTGCTTTTTACAGAACAGCCCGAGACCTACTACAAGTGGGACAACTGGCCACCTGAGAGTGACCGCAAGTGAGCACCTGTTGCCGCTGACTCTGTGTCTATGGGATACCTGTCTGTGGAATGTCTCCAAACCTCTGCGTGCCTGCTCCTTTCTTCCAGACAGCCAAACACACAATGTCCTTCCTCCCCCGGCCAGTGTCAGGACTCGGCCTCCCCCAGCCTGGCACCACCCTACCCCTGACCGCTGGAAAATTGTTCCCATCTGTCCCACCTTGGGGTCCTACTGCCAACCTAGCTTGCTCACCTCTGCCCTCCTCATACCGCTGTTTCGGGTTTTGATGGTGACACTTTGCTTATTTCCTGGCTCTGAGCCTCCAGAGGCCAGCATCTTCATCCTCTCTGGGATGGCAGAACCTCATCCTTGAAAGCATTAGGAACTAGCACCCATGGGAGTAGGCAGGTGCTGCCCTCCCTTAACCAGCTGGAGCTTGGCACTGTGGCCCAGCCCTGCTCAGGAGGCACCTGCCAGCTTGGGTTACCCTACTAAACCAACCTTTCCTGCTGCCCACAGCTTCTTTCTCCGCCTCTGTTCGGAGGTGCCCATCCTGGAAGACACGCTTATGCGAATCCTGGTCATTGGGCTGTCCCGGGAGCTCCCACTCGGCCCCGCTGATGCCATGGAGCTGGCTGACCACCTAGTGAAGCGAGCTGCGGCTGTGCAGGCGGATGGTAAGGTTCCCTGGGGTCTTTGTCTGGCTTCCTCTCCTAGGCCCTGCAGCCTAGCCTCAGCCCTATCTTGGGCCCTGTTTTCTGTCTCCAACTAACCTCTGCATTTGGGAATTGGGCTGTTGCCTTCCTGTCCCCATGCTGTTTCTCCATGTGGTTGACTAGTCCAGTACATCTATCTGTTTCCTCTTTAAAGGGCTGCCCCAGTGACAATAAATAGAGCGTTACCATGTTTAGGATCACTGTCCCGGCTGGTGGGCCAGGATCTGAGCTCTTAGCTTAGGGCCAAGACCCAGTGTGATGAGAGCTTACCTTGCCCTTGATCCTAGCTGTGTGTGATTCTATAATATAACTGTGTTCTCAAGATCTGCTCTTCCCTGGCTGTGCTACTCTCCCTGACGATCCCCACTGCTCCCTAAAACCTAGCTCAGATGCTACAAGGTGAAAACTTGCTTCAGTTTCCCCAGAACAGATCAGAAGCTACCCCCACCTCCCACGAGGTATGCTGATTGCATGTCATCTGCATCCTGTCTTGTAATGGGGGTCAGTCTCCCATCCTGCCCTTCAGCTTTTGGAGAGCACAGCCCCAGTCATGTTGCTCTCTGGCATCCCACAGCCCCAAATTTCTGTGCCCCGATGTTCAATGAGTGAGTCTGATGGCCTTCCGGGCATTTGTGTGGGCCCTGCTGTAGATGTAGAAGTTCTGAAGGTGGAGAGGATCCAGTTGATTGATGCTGTGCTGAACCTGTGCACCTACCACCATCCGGAGAACATTCAGCTCCCCCCAGGGTAAGCACATCCCCCAATAGGACTTCCTCTGTCCCACCAGTTCTCTGCTCCCTGACCTCCCCACAGGATAGCTCTTGAGAGCCTGTCCATAGACACCCAAGAGGCCTGGCTGGTCATTGACTGGCCTGAGGCTCTGTCCCACCATTGCTGGTTCAGTGAGCTTGCCCCGTTCTCTTTTCAGTGTCTCATGGGTTCTCTTTCTGTGTTTAGTGCACACTGCATTTCTTTAGATAAGTTTATGCTCAGTTTTCTTGCCCACTTTTTTTGAGATGCTAAGTTTTAAAATGGGAAGCTTGAGTCTAATCTTGAAAACAACGTTTTAAGATTGTTTTGGTTCTTCGGGATTCTTGTATTTTTATATAAGTGTTAGGGTAAGCTTATCAATTTCCAGAAAAAAGTGGGATTTTGGTGGGGATTGTAGTGAGTATATAGATCAGTTTGGGAACTGTTATTTTGTTAACGAGATAAAATACCAGTCCGTGAACATGAGATGTTTTCCATTCATTTAGATCTTTAATTTGTTTCAAGAATGTTTTGTAGTTCTTACTAGCTAAATTTTGCATTTCTTCCGTTAAGTTTATACCTAAGTACTTGATGCTCTTGTAAGTGTGTTATAAGTGAAATTGATGTCTGTATTTCTTTTTTTGGATTGCTAGTGTATGCCTGTATTTCCCAGCTTGATGTTTTTCACTTGACAGCCTATTTACACATGTTTCCAAGTCAGTATGTGAGAGAAAGGGACTGACGCTCTCATTCTCTCTAGTAACTGTCTTTTGTTTCATATATTGCAACTGCAGTTGCAATATGTGATTTTCATATATTATCACAACTACATATTGGTGGAAAACCTGGACTGTTCCTGGTTTTCTGATGTAAAACAGAGAATGAGAGCTAGTTTTAATCAAACATTTGTTACTGTAATTGCCTTTGTTCCCATTTTGTAGGTGCAAAACAGAGAGAAAGGTAAGTGACTGTGCAGGGCCTCAGAGCTGTAACGTGGGCCTGGCAGTGTGCCCTGGGCTAGACTCTCAGCACTCCTGGTTACAGTGTGTGCAATTCCTGGGCACGTGTGTCACTGGAGAGAAGAGGTATTACTGAGGCACAGATAAGGACAGTATGATCTTTATTAAAGCAGACGCTAAAGTCTTTCTGTGCTACTGTCTCCTGGCCTTGGATTAATTATTGTCATGCCTGAGCTTGGCCAAACATGAGTTTCAGTGCCCTTGCATTTCAGGTATCAGCCTCCAAATCTTGCTATCTCCACCCTCTACTGGAAGGCTTGGCCCCTGCTGCTGGTTGTTGCTGCCTTCAACCCGGAGAACATTGGTGAGCCTCCTTGGCTACCTCATGGGTGCTAATCATTCTTCTTTTGGGGCGTCTTGTTTGTCAGGACCTGGGAGAGAGTCTGGTTGGGACAGGATTAAGAACTTGGAAGTGGCTGGGTGGGTCTTGGGCTTGGCCTGGTGCCAGAGGGTGGGGTGAAGGGGATGCTCTGTGCTCTGGCTGCCACCTGACATCTCCTTGCTCCTAGGCCTAGCTGCTTGGGAGGAGTACCCCACACTGAAGATGCTTATGGAGATGGTGATGACAAAGTAAGGCTGCTTGCATGCTCTGGGTCAGGACACTCCCAAAGGGGCAGAGCCTGATCCTTGCTAGGAACAAGATCCAGTGCTAGAGCTCGGCTCACTTTGAAGTCTCTTCTCTGCCATGCTGTTTCTTATTTTTCCTTTACTTGTGGGCTTGAATTTTTGAATCTGTCTTGTGAGCTTTAGTCCCCTCTCTCCAGCTTGCTGGGTGGGGCAAAGGAAGTAGCTGAAGCACCCTGGTGTCTCCAGGGCTTCTGGGCTATCATAGCCTGCACTTGTATCAGAGACAAGTCAGATTGAAAGATTTGTAACACTGGAGGAGGCTGCAGTGGGGCAGCCAGGGCCTGGAGAGGGTTTGTGGAATAGATGCAAGGGATCCGGGCCAAATAGGTTTAACAGACGCACATGTGAGCACTGCCTGGGTCAGTAGTGGGAAAACTTCCTGTATAAAGTGGGCGTGGGACTCGGGCATGACCTGAGTGCCAGACGCAAACTGGTGTGACTGTACCCGTGCACATCTACCCTTGCTCCTGAGCTAGAAGAAAAGGCAACTGGGCACCCAGATGGATGATGTGTCTGTGTAATGTGCTCCATTGCCATTCGTAAAATCGGAGACAGGTCCAGTCCACCTTGCACTTTTTTTTTTTTTTTAAAGATTTATTTATTTATTTATTTATTTGTACAAGAACCAGGGTACAGGCCAGATGCGCTAGAGGGTGAGAGGATTCACCAGAGACAGAGCAGGGAACAGAACAGGCAGACTGATGAAATACACCGCTGAGGGGAGCAGCGGGTGCGACAGGAGAGGTCTGCCATGCCTTGTGGGGCCCTTGCCGGCTGGCTGGGATCAAACCGGCGCTGCAGAAGCTGCAGACAGCTTCACAGCGCGGCGCTCAACTACCTGTGCCACCAGGGGAGGCCAAACCACTTTGCACTCTTAAGAGGGACTGCAGAGGGCATTAGTGTGTGTGTGTGAGGCTGTGGCTTGTAGGGACTGGCCATGTGTATACACACACATTGGGAACCGGATGTCTCTAGCCCAAGGCTCTTGCCCTAAATGGCCGTTCCCTTCACACCTCTGAAGGGCTGTCCTGTGGCTACTGCTGTGACTGACTTTGGTGCCTTAAGAACAGAACTGAGATGAAAGAACATCTTGGGAAGACAGATTGGTTTTTTAATATGGAGAGGAGACGAAAACCTCCATCTTGATTTGGGACTACCCTAGCTGGGCCTGTTGGAAGGGAATCTGGGGAGGAATGGGGGGTGACTAGAAGGGAGGAAGTCCAGGGCATGTGAGCTCTGGGTCCAGGACTTGACTCTTTCGGAAGTAACTAGCACACTATTGTGTGGAAGGACAGTGGGTGGCTGGGTGGGGCATTGTGAGGAGGCTGGACTCTCGCAGGCCTTCCTCAGACAGCCTTCTGCTGGCCCTGTGGGCTTTCTGGTCTGCCTGACAGCTCAAGCTGTGCACTGCAGCCACAGCCAGGATTTTGAGTTTTGACCTTTCCTGACCATGTTATCTGGGAGCAAGCCTCCAACAGGGCATAGTAACAAGTGCCTATCTTTTGGTTTCCAGTAATTACTCCTATCCACCTTGCACCCTGACTGATGAGGAGACCCGGACAGAAATGATTAATCGGGAACTGCAGATCTCTCAGCGTGAGAAGCAGGAGATTCTGGCCTTTGAGGGACATTTGGCAGCTGCTTCCACCAAGCAAACCATCACTGAGAGCAGTAGCCTCCTTCTGTCTCAGCTCACCAGTCTGGATCCCCAGTAAGCTGATCCCAGCCCCCAATCTCTTGAACTTGAGGACTTAAGCCTGGGATGGCTGGTGGTGGGTGGAGTGGGAGCAGGTGCTTCCCCTTGTCATACCTGTTGCTGTTGCACTCACGCATCGACACACTCATGTCCTGTGGGATTTTCAGAGGCCCCCCTCGGCGGCCACCCCCCCACATCCTGGACCAAGTGAAAGGCCTCAATCAGTCCCTCCGCCTTGGGCACCTGCTGTGCCGGAGCCGAAACCCAGACTTCCTCCTCAACATCATCCAGAGGCAGGTAAGACCTTTAGCTCTGCAGAAGGGACTCAGGCAGGCTGGGGACCTTCCAGAAGCTTCCCTGGGCTCTTGCCCTAAATGAAACTGTAACCAGAGGGAGCAGAGCAGATGTGAGGGTGGAATGGGTCTGAATAGTATGCAGATGGTCTGTGCTTCAGTGTGCAGTTGCTCTGGGCCGGGTGGACACAGGGAGGTGGGCTGTAGAAGGGGACACAGCAGGTTTCATCTAAAGGAGCTGCGTGTTATTGTCGCTGCCTAGGCCTCCTCGCAATCCATGCCCTGGCTGGCCGACCTGGTCCAGTCCAGCGAGGGCTCCCTGGATGTGCTGCCTGTACAGTGTCTGTGTGAGTTCCTGCTACATGACGCTGCGGATGACTCCACTTCAGGAGAAGAGGAGGAGGAGGGTGAAAGCAAAGAGCGGAAGGCCAAGAAGCGGCAGGTCAGTGGTTCCCCACCACTATCCCACTCTCAGGCCCTCTAGGCTTTCCCTCAAGTCCCCCTTGTTCCTGCAGAGGCAGCAGAAGCAGCGACAGCTGCTGGGCCGCCTGCAAGACCTGTTGCTGGGCCCGAAGGCTGACAAGCAGACCACGTGCGAGGTGCTGGACTACTTCCTACGGCGCCTTGGCTCTTCCCAGGTGGCCTCCCGCGTGCTGGCCATGAAGGTGAGGCTGGCCACTGAGCCCAGCATGTCCCACTGCTCTGTACTCCTCTATGTACAGTGAGCCTCTCAGCCACCGAGACTTTCTCGCTGACTTTTGTCATCTGTGGAGAGACGACCCTAGTAAAACCTGACAGGAACTGAGCCTTTCTCCTGTGTGCAGTGTTGGCTTCCCTGGGTGGTGGGTGTCCCCAGAGTGACTTAGCATCTTGCAGGTGCTGAGTGGCAGCTCCTTAAAGATCCCACTTCACTGCCACTGTCTCTTCAATGCTAGTGGCTGACAGGATGCAGGGTCTTTATTGACTGGGCAGCTTCCTCCTCCCAGGGCTCTGAGGGGATATTTCAACCCTCTACCCCTGCCCCCCAAAATCCCGATGTGGACTCTGGCAGAGACTTGATGTGTAAGATCCCCGATGCATGTCTACTTGCAGGGCTTGTCCCTTGTGCTCTCAGAGGGCAGCCTTCGGGATGGAGAAGAGAAGGAGCCCCAGATGGAGGAGGATTCCAGGGACTCGGAGACGCTGCAGGGCTACCAGTGGTTGCTGAGAGACCTGCCCAGGCTGCCTCTGTTCGATAGCGTCAGGACCACCACCGCCTTGGCACTGCAGCAGGTGAGGGTGCAGCAGCTGCGGGGGGGGGGGGGGCACTCCGCCCCCCCTCGGAACAGAGCAGTTCACACAGCCCCTTCCCTAGGCCATCCACATGGAGACTGATCCACAGACCATCAGTGCCTACCTGGTCTACCTGTCCCAGCACACGCCTGTGGAGGAGCAGAGCCAGCACAGTGACCTGGCCCTGGTGAGGGGAACACAGTGACCTGGCCTTGGTTTGAGGGCGGGAGCAGACCCATCATGTGGTGGTACTTTGGGCTTGGGGACACCAAGTGCTGGCTGGCTTACTTTCCAGTGACTTTTCTATCCAGGTTAGGTGTCATGGTAGGGAGAACTAGGTCCCGGCAGTGCTAGAATAACTGTATTGTTGTCACCAAGGCCAGGTTACCTCTGTGACTGCCTCTGGGATGTGGGAGGTGTGATGTCACTATATCCGAAGTACATTCTCAGGTTGGCGGGTCTCCAGGCTTCTCGGCCAGCCCAGGGGTGATACCCAGAAGGTATTCTGTGTTGCTGGTTCCTATGGAGGGGGGACACTGGACCCAGGAGTACCATCCATTTACCCCTTTGTTCTCTTTCTGGCCAACTTTCTTTGACCTTGCTTTCGTGTCAGCCGGTTCCTAGCTAACAGCGACTATGCATTCTCGGGGCCCCAGAGAATGTTTGGGATGAGTAAAGGGATGGATGGGGGTGTGCAGGCTAGCAGGTTGGGGTAAGTGTGATTCTCTTAAAGCCTGGCTTCCTTGCTGAGGGGCTGTCCTTACAAAAACCCAGGCCTTGAGCCCTCGCTCCTGAGTCCTGGTCCAGCAGGCAGCCCTTCCAAAGGTGTTCTTCCAGAACTTGAGGAGGTTTGGCATCTGGCTCTTTAGGTGTTCTTCCCCTTGAATCTTGAGAAATGTATTCTGTTGCTCATAGGATAAAGCCCGTGTTTGCTCTTTGCTTTGCCCACGCTTCTCTCCATGCTAGGCTGGTGGCAGCATCCTTTTACTTTTAGGGTTTTTATCCTCTCCAGGGGCTCCTGCTACTCCTGGATGTTTGACTGACCCTGTGTGTCTGAGGGGCCCTGGGCACTGGGGGGCCCCTTTCCTCTGTCATGGCCCTGTTGCTTGCTGTTAAGTCTTCACCCCGATTGGGTGTGTGGTTGTGCTAAGCCTGTTGTAGCTTCGGGGGTGGCCTCTTGCTGGTAGGACAGGCTCTCTAGAAGTGGGGCTGGCCAAGAAGAGGCCCTCCTGCCTGTCTCTGGGGAGCCCCTGCCACCACTTTTCTTGTTTGCCCCTAGGATGTGGCCCGGCTCATTGTGGAACGCTCCACTATCATGTCCCACCTGTTCTCCAAGCGCTCCTGTAGTGCCGAGTCGGATGCAGTGCTGGCCGCATTATTGTCTATTTTCTCATGCTATGTGAGGCGCATGCGCAAGAGCAAGGAGGGGGAGGAGGTCTACAGCTGGGTAAGCTGTGCCCTGGCCCTGAAGCCCCTGCCTCAGAGTCCCCACCATTAGGCAATGGTCGCCTCTTGGTGGCAGGACACCTGTTACTCACTCTCTTCTACCTAACAGTCGGAGTCTCAGGATCAGGTGTTCCTGCGCTGGACAAGTGGGGAGACAGCCACCATGCACATCCTGGTGGTCCATGCCATGGTCATCCTCCTGACGTTGGGGCCACCACGTGAGCAGCCTGTGGGACAAGAGGGCCAGTTCCTGGGGTCTGTCTTGGGCAGGGTGTGCAGAGTGAGGCAAGCATCGCTTTGGGAAGATCCCAATTACCAACCTCCATTTCCTATAAGGCAGAGAGAGGCAGTCCTTTTCATGCTAGTCTGAGAGAAATCAGGGAGACACAAGAGCTCCTCGGTATGAGGGGATCCTCAAGAGCTTCGAGGTCTGGAAAGTGATGGGCCTGTGATGAGAGCCTGGTTTTTGTTGACACTTCACTCCCCTGCCTGCACTGCCCTGAAATGAGTGCCCTGGGCGCCACCAGACACCTTCCTGTGCCTACTCCTCCTGCTCAGCCCAGTCAGGGAGACTTGGTTTCTGGAGGAGACGGGGACCCGCAACAGTGAGCTCTTGGTCTTCCCCACAGGCCCTGGGTGTGTGGCCCTCGACTCGCTGACTGTGGGCTGTATTCAGACCCAGCTGATGCTTCAGCTAGCTGAGCCCCCTCCTGCCTGGCAGCCTGTCTGCCTCCTTCCCAGTTGACCACTTGGATTGCTCTTGTTATTTGAAATAGAGGGAGGGGACAGGTCCTCTTGCTGGGCTGGTGCCCTGTGGGCTGTGCTGGGGGAATCCCTGTCAGGAATGGAGGTGATGCCCAGGGAAGGCGGTCGCCCCTTGGGAGGGTGGGCGCTCCCAAGCCTGTGGGCACTGAGGTGGGGCTGGCCTCATGCTGGGCTGAACCTGTGTGGCTTCCCAGGATGGTGTAGAGCCTGTGGAGTGGGAGGGCGCAGGTTCCACCAAGCTCACAGCTCAGAGACCCAGCCACGCACAGTCTCTGGGCAGACTGGCTCTCAGGTGGGCAGACTGGCTCTCAGGTAGGCACCCAGCTCTATTTCCCAGATATGAGATGGGCTGTTATGCAGCAATTGTCGGGATTAGTTGAGTTATGAAGCCATCTCTGTTGCTTACTTTGACATCTCTCCTAAAGCTGGTGACAGTGAGTTCCAGGCTCTGTTGGACATCTGGTTCCCAGAGAAGAAGCCTCTCCCCACAGCCTTCCTGGTGGACACATCAGAGGAGGCGCTGCTGCTGCCCGACTGGCTGAAACTGCGTATGATCCGCTCCGAGGTCCCTCGCCTGGTGGACGCTGGTATGGCCCGGGCGAGGGGAAGGCCCATGATGGGGTATCCTGGACATCACATCTGCTGTGGGCCCAAGTGTGGGCCATCTGTTACAGATGAGAGAGAACACTCGTCTAGTAGTGAATCTCATGGTCCTCTAGTGGTTCCAGGACATTCATTATTCAGCAAATGTTTGAGTTTTTGGTGTGTGCGAGGCTCTCCAGGTTGGACTGTAGGAGTGCACTAGCACCTCTGCTAAACTCTTCCATTCAGACAGGGGTGCAGGGGGGCCCCTAAGTGAGAAGTCCTTGCTAGAGAAGGGAAGATGAAACTTTTGGGAGTGGGGAGGGGTGAGGGGTGGGCTGGGGCTTCTGAGTCATTCTCAAAGGATGGAGTGATTGGGGTCCTGCAGTGAGGCTGGCATACCTCAGAAACCTGTCGGGTGGCACCTGGGCAGAGCAGAAGGAAGCTGGGGCACAGTTTGATAAGCCGTGGGGTTAGCTCAGACAGCACAATGGAGGGCACAGTCAAAGGAATCTGGGCTCTTTGAAAGCTGTGGGGAGCCATTAATGGTTCTCAGGAGCTCAGAGCCTGGAGAAGAGAAGACCTAGGCTCGAACCCTGCCCCAGAGAGCAGGGTGGGAAGCAGGCCTTGTGCTGTACAATGCTATGAGTCTTCTGTGGATCCACCAGCTGCACTTCAGAGTTGGCTTCTGGAGCAGGGACGGGCCTGGGCTCCAGGGAGGCTCCAGATGCCCCCTTAGGCCCAGGATTGCAAACCAAAAGTTGCTGAGTGTGTGTTACCCTCAGCCCTGCAGGACCTCGAGCCCCAGCAGCTGCTGCTTTTCGTGCAGTCCTTTGGTATCCCTGTATCCAGCATGAGCAAACTCCTCCAGTACCTGGACCAGGCAGTGGCCCATGATCCCCAGACCCTGGAGCAGAATATCATGGACAAGAGTAAGAACCAATAGTTCTCGTGACTCAGCAGATCCTGATACAACTCTCTGGGACCTGGCCGGTCTGCACCAAGGTTGGGAGGGGGCTGGAACATATGAGGTGAGAGTTTGGAGCAGGAAGGTGGGACTGGGCTGGGCAGGGGTGACAGGTTGAGAATGAGGGGACTGCCTCTCGGGTTGAGGATGAGGGGACTGTGGTCATTCTTTGTGCTTGTAGCTGTGAGACCCTTTGCTGAGGGACCTCCTGTCTGTGCTCTGAAGTCGCTTTCTAGAACTGTCGGATCATCATTGCGCCCCCACTCCAGTTTCTGCAGGATGGGAGCACATTTCCCTGTGTGAAGCTCTGTTGCTGTTTTGCAGATTACATGGCTCACTTGGTCGAGGTCCAGCATGAGAGAGGGGCATCTGGGGGCCAGACTTTTCATTCCCTGCTCACAGCCTCCCTGCCACCTCGGCGAGGTAACACCTGGGCCCATTCACCTGCGCCCATTCATGGCACATGCTGTTATGGGGCCATGCTGGTCTGGATCCCATCTCCTGTTGAAAGGCCTTGCTCCTTGCAAGCCTCCAGCCTGAGTGAGGCCTGGGTCCTTAGGATGCAGAATCCTCCTCAGGTCTGCCAGCTGGTCTTCTTAGGTGATGGTCCCTGGGCAAGACTAGCCTTGGTTTATGGTCCCCACTGGAAGCAGCCAGGAAGAGTTGCTATCTAATGCTTGTTTTCTCTTTCCTGAAGACAGCACAGAGACACCAAAACCTAAAAGCAGCCCAGAACAGCCTGCGGGCCAGGGCAGGATCCGGGCTGTGACTCAGGTGCGGGTGCTTGGCCCAGAGGACGACCTGGCCAGCATGTTCCTGCAGGTACTGCCACCTCTGTTATGGAACTGCCCTCTCCATAAGCAGGGCACCCCAAGGGCCATCCATTCCTCCTGCTCGAAAAGGGGGTTTACCCTAAAATGCCCCGTTCAAGTTGAGAGAGGTTTCCTCAGCCACCTTGGTTTTCTTCTCCAAGTTAAGTGACTGGCCGAGCTGCTTGATCTTTCTGTGCCTCAGTTTCCTCATCCATAAAATTATCAGTGACCTCTTCAGGTTGGTTGCAAAAACAGTTGAAGCGAGATATGTTCTGTGTTGAGAGCAGCACCTTCTGGTGGTTCTCAGAGATGCCTTGTCTCCCAACACTACCCTTGCTGCATGCCAGCCTAGCATGCCAGCCTCAGCCCAGTCTCTGTAGGACTGCCTCTACTCATCTCTTCCAGAATTATGGAAAATGAGCAGACAAGTCTCCGCTCATACACACGGCCCTCCGGGACTGGCCTGGCTCTGCTGACACCTTCCCTTACTTTGCTGGGGAATGACTCGTGCTGACCTTGCCCTCTGGAGCATGCAGTGCGATGGTTCTGGTGTGCAGATCTCATCTCTCAGTCTTGCCACCCCACAGAGAACCCCGAGTCACCCCTCTCGCAGCCCTGCAGCACCGCTTTTACTCGTTGCTGCTGGCTTTGCCCCTGAGAACATGTGTGTGCCCCTGTGCCCTCACCCCTCCTTACATGGGCCACTTGTGCAGAACATCTTCTTGCACACAGATCTGCACATTCGTGCCTTTCTCACTGCACACGTACCATTTCATAAATGAAGAAGCTGAGGTCCAAGGGCTGTGGGACTTACCCACAGACTCACCCCAGAGCAGGAATCCTGTGCAATCCCCTGCACCCACTTACTCCCTGAGGGGTTGTCCGTAGGCACTGGTCATGCAGGACATCTTCAGCTGCTCCTTCAGCTGAAGTCCCTGGGTCCCTGCCATGCCTGCAGCACAGGTCAGTCCACAAAAGGGTGGGGTTGTAGTGTGCAGGCCTCTCAGAGAGAAGACCTGGGCTCACCTCTGCCAAGTTCACCCCTGACTGTCCCCCTTGCTGTGCTCCAGGTCTTCCCTCTGAGCCCCGGCCCACGATGGCAGAGCTCCAGTGCCCGCCCTGTTGCCCTTGCACTGCAGCAGGCACTGGGCCAGGAACTGGCCAAAGCCCGTCAGGGGAATCCCGAGGTGCAGGGCGTTGCAGTGCGCCTCCTGCAGGCCATTGCCTCCTTGCTGAACTCCACGCACGGTGGGGCCTTGGTGATGGCCATGCAGCGGAACCATTTCCTTGCTTGCCCACTGATGCGCCTGCTCTGCCAGTACCAGGTGGGTGTGGGGGCACGGTGGGGGTGCATCTGCAGCAGACCCCCACATCTGGGGGTGGCCACAGAGATGGGGTTGATCCGTGCTGGATTGCAGGGTGGTACAGGCCTCATAGTCAGTTCCACTCCTGCAGCCATTTTCCCTGCCAGAGTGCAGGCCGTGCCACTGCTCTGTGCACACTTGCCTCTAAGTGAGTGTAGCCTTGTACCACGGTTGTCCCCACAGCGCTGTGTGCCCCAGGATACCACCTTCTCCTCGCTCTTCCTCAAAGTACTCATGCAGACCCTACAGTGGCTGGACGGCCCTGCAGTGGAGGGTGGGCCCCTGCAGGCCCAGCTCAAGCTCTTTGCCACCCAGTACTCAGCAAGACGCAGGATCAGTGACGGTGAGGGAGGGAGGGTTGGGAGGGGAGCTCCTGCCATCTGTCAGAATGGTGGCCTTGAAAGCACAGAGGGATCCGTTGGTACTTGGGTCTCTGCACCCTGGGTTGGCATGGATGTGCATGTGGTGAACATTTTGGCAGCTGGGGTTTGGGGAGACGCCTAGGAAAGAAAGTGCATGTGGGAACCAATGGGTCACTCCCTATCGGCAGTCGGGTACTCCCTGCACGTCAGGCTGATGGGTGATATGTGGGGTCAAGACCTGTCACCTGGACATTCTCCTCAGTGCGGAGTGGGTTTTTACACCTGGCGGAGGCCCTGACATTCCGTGGGGACCCGGAGGCAGTCAGCTCTACCATCCGGGCAGTCGTCACCACTCTCAAGTCTGGGGAGACGTGTGGTGTGGAACCAGAGCTCATTGGCAAAGGTACCTTGGAGGTGGTAGCACTGCAAAGGCCTTCTTCTCATAGATGCCCCCACCTAGGACCTTTGAAGGAAGAACTGTCCTAGGCAGCCCACACCCCAGCCCAGTAAGCAGCCCCATACGGGCTTCCAGCCCTCGCCTGGACTCTCCTTTTGGAGTGTTATACACTGGGCTCACACCCAGTGCTGCCCGAATAGCCCCATGGCCTGCCTTCCTCCCTGAGGAGGACCAGTGCTGGCACCACTGCTGGCCACTCCTGTCCAGGTGCCGGGGCATCACTGGCTACAGAGGTGGGGGTCCGTTTTCTGTTCTTGGGTAGTCTGCAGGCCTGCCCATCTCCATCCCCCAGCTCAGCAACACAGATGCCTTTCTGCCCTCTTCTAGTCCTCCAGGGTCTGATTGAGGTGAAGTCCCCTCACCTGGAGGAGCTGCTGACAGCACTCTTCACTACTACCTCTGCATTCCCGGCCTCCAGGCCCATCGTGGTGGTGAGCTCCCTGCTTCTGCAGGAGAAGGAACCCCCAGCCTCTGGGGAGCAGGATGCTAAAGTTTGCAGGTAAGCTGGCAAGGCAGTGGCCTAGTGCGCAGTCATGACTGGCTGTCTCTGAGCCCACCCTGCCTTCCTTTCAGCCCAGAGGCTGTGCGGCTTGGACCCTGCTCGGGGCTGCTTGTCGACTGGCTGGAGATGCTGGACCCAGAGGTGGTGGGCAGCTGCCCCGACCTGCAGCAGCGGCTCCTGTTCTCCCGGAGCAAGGTGGGCTGTGGACTTGCTGGCACAGGCCTTGGGTGGGGCTGGGTGCTGGGCACCTGCACGATGCTCAACATGGCTGCCAGCAGTCACTGGGGAAGGACAGCTCAATACTGGGGCAGGCATCTGGGAGCGTGGTTGGAGCTTTGTGGACCCAAAGGGTACAGGAGGCACCACAGTGAGCAGGGAGAGTAGAGCCTGGTACCCCTGATGAGACATTGGGTCCTCTGAATGTCGGAGCTCTGCAGGGAGGGGCCGCAAGTGCCCCCACTCTGTGGTGTCCCCACCTTGTCTCTCTGGGGATGATCGGAAAATGCCAGCCATGTCAACAGTGAGGAGCTGTTGTCCCTGCTGTGCTCTTGCCAGGTGCTTGTTGGTCTGCATTTCTGTGAGCAGGGGTCACTGTCTCGTTCCTAAATCTTACTATTTTTTTTTTTTTAAAGGTCTATTTATTTAATGCATACAAGAACCGGGCTACAGGCCTGAGGTGGTGGGGGGCGGGGTGAGAGGATTCACCAGAGACAGAGTGGGGAACAGAACAGGCAGACTGACTGAAATACACTGCTGAGGGGAGCAGCGGGCGAGCAGGAGAGGTCTGCTGCGCCATGTGGGTCACCTCCCTGGTCGGGGATAGAACTTGTGCTGCTGTGGCTGCAGGTGGCTTCATAGTGCTACGTCTTAATCCCTTGTGCCACCAGGGAGGCCTTCATTCCGAAATCTTAAATGCTGCTGTGGCCAGCGGCTGTCTTTGGAACATATTCCCAGGACTCTGAGAGTAGGAGCAGCTGTTTTTGCTTTCTTCTCTTGGCTTTGCTGTTGGGTTCCCCCATCTCTAGGAATTGGTTTCCCTCAGCCCACAGTCTGCTGAGCACCTGGCTGGGCCCACCTGGCATATGGGCAGAGTGCCAGGTCTCCCTCAAAACACCCCCTCCCCCTACTTTCTGCAGTTTGAGTAGGGAGTTGTCCTCTGACATGCTCCATAGAGGCCAGCTGGGTTCCCCAGTGGTGATCATCTAGGTTTCTTCCTCCTCCAGGGTAAAGGTCACCCCGGCCCCCAGGTGCCATCTTTCCGACCCTACCTCTTGGCCCTCCTCACTCACCAGTCCAACTGGTCCACCTTGCACCAGTGTATCCGCATCCTACTGGGCAGGAACCGGGAGCAGAGGTGAGCACACAGCCCAGCCCAGCCCCACCCCACCTCTCTGGGGGAGGAAGTAAATCTCATGACAGCTGTGGGCTCTGTTCAGGCAGCCAGCAGCATTGAAGACCGGGGCATCCCATCCATTACCCTTCCCCCAGCTTCCCCTGGTTCCTGGGGCTCACTGGGTGCTCACTGGGTGTCCTGCTGTGTACTCTTGCTCAGCCCTAAGGACACCTCCATTGACCAAGGCCCTCACTACACTGGCATGCTGGGAAGGGCACAGAACTCACTTGACCAGAGTGTCCCTGCTCTGGGTGACTACCAGGGCAGATGTCAGCTGAGGGAATGGTCCGTTTTCCTGGATTACATGAATGACTGTTGCTCATGCTGAGCTGCAAAGCTCTAAATGCTTCTCTTCATGGAGGGCTAGCCCAGAGGGTGGGTAAGGTGTGGGCACAGCAGGGCAGGGTGGTGCAAGTCTCCAGTGGCTGACCTGGACCCTTAGCCAGAGAAGTACTCCTGCCCTTTTTGTCACTGGGGAGCTGCTCGCCCTAGCTTCTCTGGTTTGTCATCCATCTCTGCCTGCTGTGCCCAGAAGCCGAGAGGCTATCGTGCTCCGTCAGAACTCTGCTTACTTCTAGGTTTGACCCTTCAGCCTCTCTGGACTTCCTCTGGGCCTGCATCCATGTTCCTCGGATCTGGCAGGGAAGGGACCAACGCACCCCTCAGGCAGGTTGGGAGTGTGCCGGCCCTGCAGGGTGGGGTGAGTGTGGCCAGCCCTTCCCTTCCAGGCTGACTACAGGCATCAATTGCAGAAGCGGCGGGAGGAACTGGTGCTGCGGGTCCAGGCTCCAGAGCTCACTGGCCTGGTGGAGCTGATGTTGGCAGAGGCAGAGGCCAGGAGCCAGGACACGGACACTGCCGCTTGCAGCCTCCTCCAGGCCCGGCTGCCTTTGCTGCTTAGTTGCTGCCGTGGAGACGACGAGAGTATCCGGAAGGTGACAGCACACCTGACAGGCTGCATCCAGCAGCGGGGAGACAGGTGAGTATGCAGGTACACACCCAGGAACCTTCACTTTGTTGCCTTGCTAATGTGATCAACAGACACCCCTCAAATGCACCCCAGAGGAAGAAGCCCTGGCCCTGGGGTTTGGCTCCTGTCTGCAGGAGGGGTGCCACCCGTGCCTCCTCCTGGAGCCCACTTCCCATCTCCCTGGGGTGCACAGCCAGTGGTGGGAGTAGCAGCTCTGCCGGCCCCACCACGCAGTCCCCAGCCTTCCACACCCTAGCGTGGTCTCTTCCAGTGTGCTGGGAAGGCACTGCCAAGACCTGCTCCTGCAACTCTACCTGCAGCGGCCCGAGCTCCGTGTGCCACTGCCTGAGGTCCTGCTGCATGGGGAGGGGGCCACGGGCAGCAGCGTCTGTAAGGTGAGAACTGATGAGGGAGGTGCTCGGTACCTTTCTGTGTTTTGCTTTTGCTTTTAAGATAGAAACCCAATGAGGGATAAAGAAAGTTTTTAAATTTAAAAATGAAACAGGTCTGGTGAGCAGCCACAGCATCTGGGCGGCCCTGTTCTCATGTTGCCTGAAGGCAGAGCCTCCCCACCATCCCGTTCCTCGCATTCAGCGTGTCACTGGCATTTAGTGTTGGTATTGTTTGTGTAGAAAGGTTGGCTTCAGATTACTGTGTTTGAGGTTGTCTGGGAACTTTAGCAACAACCTGTTTGACCTGCAGAAGCACCTAGAAATAATTGAGGGACAAATTTCTTTGAGTCGCTGCATAGCCACAGTAGTCCTTGGGGCTGGGGGCCTTGACATCAGAGACCCACACATGGCCCTGTTGAGCCTGACTGAACCCCTTCAGCAATAGACAGCACACTCAGTGTGTGGTGGGTGCTCCCCACTTCTCATAGCTGGACGGCCTTATTCACCGCTTCATCACCCTCCTCGCGGACACCAGTGACTCCCGGTCATCAGAGAACCGAGTAGCAGACGCCAACATGGCCTGTCGGAAGCTGGCTGTGGCCCACCCTATCCTGCTGCTCAGGTACACTTGCAGCCCCAGCTCTGTGCTCTGGGAGATTCCATGAAGCAGCCCTGGAGGCAAAGGGCCTACCTACCCCACACCCTTACAGGCCCTCCCCGGGATTAGTACTCCGATCATGTCTATGCTCCAGATGTTCCTGTAAGAACAGGGTCTTGGGCTCATGACTGACCTGTGGAGATGCAGAGCCCTGGACTGGGCAGCAGTAGCCTCATGGGAGAGGTTCTACTCTTCTAACCCAGCTAAGTCTTATGGGGGTGGGGGCCAGATCCCAGGAGAGAGTGGGTTAATGAGTCTCCATCTTGTAGACTCAGAACAGGAGGTAGAGGTTGTCAGAATTCTGGACCAGCAGCCTCAGCATCACCTGGAGCTGCTTAAAGGTGCAGCCCTGACCTATCAAATCAGATGGGTATTTGGGTAAGCTCCAGGATGATCTCCAAGACAGAGTTGAGAATTTCTTGTGGCATGAAGGTGTTGGCTCTGTGGAACTCCAGTGAGTACCCAGGGGTTCTCATCAAGTGCTTTTCTGCTGTCTCCAGGCACTTGCCCATGATCGCTGCACTCCTGCATGGCCGTACCCACCTCAACTTCCAGGAGTTTCGGCAGCAGAATCACCTGACCTTCTTCCTGCATGTGCTGGGTGTCCTGGAGCTACTGCAGCCGCAGGTGTTCCAGAGCGAGCACCAGGGGGCGCTGTGGGACTGTCTGCTGTCCTTCATCCGCCTGCTGGTGGTGCGTGCTTATCCCAGGGTCTAGTCCTCTGGAGGGAGAGCCAAGATCTCCACCCTCCTGATACCACAGCCAGGACCCCAAGCACAGGGACCCGCAGGTCTCTTCCACTCGGAAATCTCCTGTTTTGGTCTGCTGTCATAGCCAGGCCACATCTGAGCTTTCTTACCAGACATGGTGAGGATGTCTCCCTCTCTGCTGAGAGCTGGCTGCTGACTGAGGACAGACGTGGGATGTGGGACTTTCAGGGCCCCTGGGACCCTGCAGGACAGCAGAGTACTGGGCCAGCATCAGGGTGGGGCCAAACTACCATCTAGTAGTTTCTGAGTCCCACCCTGGGACCCAGCTGTCACCTTGGGAAGATGTGTCTGGGGGAACCCCACATACTTCAGAAATTGAACTCCAGCCTCTCGGAACTTCCATGCTGCTCCTTCTGTGGTTCTGTGTGCCTTTGCGGTCCCTGTTACCCATCTCGGCACATGCTTTTGTGGCATCCTCTTGTTAGCCCTGAGCTCACAAACGATAAGGGCATTTTGGACCTCTTTGAAACCCTTAGCACACTGCGTAGTGGCCAGCAGGTGGTCATTTTGTTGTCCACAGTTCCTTTGTGAGGTTCCAGGCTAGCCATATGGGGCAGAAGAGGGGACATGGGGATACTTGGGCATACTTGGGCTCTGAAGCACTGCATGCTTCTCATGCAGAACTACAGGAAGTCCTCCCGTCTTCTGGCTCCCTTCATCAGCAAGTTCGTGCAGTTCACTCACAAGTATATCACTTGCAACGCCCCTGCGGCTGTCTCCTTCCTGCAGAAGCACTCCGATGCACTCCAGTGAGTGTGTGTCAGTGCCAGGGTGTGGCATTCAGGGCCAGAGCTCCTGAGGCGAGGGTGGAGACCCAGAATGATGCTGTCTGGGACCCAGGGGCAGCAGGGGTGCCATGGGTATTGGATCTACACCAGGCTCTTGGGAAGCTGACTCCCACCTGAGCATCCTGGTCTCCCCACTCCCTTCCCTCTGCTGATTGCTTTCTCACAGAGACCTGTGCTCTCTCCCCAGTGACCTGTCCTTTGACAGCAGTGACCTGGTGATGTTGAAGTCCCTTCTTGCTGGGCTGAGCCTTCCCAGCAGGGATGGCAGGACCGACAGAGGCCTGGATGAGGAGGGCGAGGGTGAGTGGGGCCAGTTGGGTTTTGTGGGGAAGAGGTAGCAGATCAGGCTGTTCCCCGCAACATGACCAGCCCTCAGGACTGTTAGCTGTTCCTGTGGCATCCTTGGCCCTCAGGTCTGTAGCACATACATGATGCACTGACCTGTGTGGGGTCTCTCATGGTTGTGTGATGACATCATTTGTGTTGAAAGTGACTTGGCCATCCAGGGAAACACTCAGCAGCAGCTGGCACTTAGGTGCCTTTATTGAGCACTTGCTGTGTTCCGGGTATTTCTACTTTGCTCCAGACTGGTGGAGGGTCTCCAAAGCACAGTGTGGCGGGTGAGTAGAGGAGAAAACAACAGGCAAAGTTCAAGATAGAGGCCCCGAGCCTCCCAGGCAGTTCCTAGTGGGCTTTCTGTCTTCCTGCATTTGCTGAGTGCCCACTGTGCACCAGGCGCTGTGCTCAGCCCATCATGCATGCCTCTAGGGTTACTCAGCACAATTGGCCCTTGATTCTGGAGCCTGGGTGTTGAGTGTTTAGCCCACTCCTCCTGATGTACCTTTCAGGCCTCTCATGGATGGGCTGCTTCTGGGGTACACCAGCCTTGTTTCATCCCATGACACTGGCTTCCTGTCTTCCAGATGAGAGTTCGACTGGCTCCCTCCCTCTGGTCAGTGTCTCTCTGTTCACCCCTCTGACTGCAGCTGAGATGGCCCCCTACATGAAGAGGCTGTCCCGGGGCCAGACTGTTGAGGGTGAGTTTGGGAGCTTGATTCCCCCAAGCCAGGTCACCCCTGTGATGGGTGGTCAGCTTCCATTCTGTCCCTGTGGTACTCTGGGTCCTATGGAGGCGTCTGGAAGATAGCAGGCCTCTACTAGGCATGGGAGGGCCTGGGCTATTTGCCCTATGGGGGAGTTAGGCAGAGACGGTGTTAGAGGAAGAGGCAGGAGTGAGCTACTCTGCTGGTCAGTTGTACCAAACAGTTGGGAACACCTGTGGAAGCAGGGCCTAGTAGTGGCCAGGGGTCTGCAGGAGGGCTGAGATTTGGATGACCAGGTAGAATTGGGCTGTTGGGCTCACTCAGTGGTGCGCGGAGTGCTCCCAAGTGGCCGCCGAGGCCCATCCCCTCTCACTGAGATAAGTGTATGAGACTGGGCAGCTCCCTGGTAGAAGGGGTGAGACCGTAATTCCCAGTGAGGCTTCAGGGTGGCCCAGGGCAGTCCTCAGGGGAGCAGGGTGCAAGGGAACAAGCCTGATCCCTCAGGCTGACTAGAGAAACGTCCTGGGTGTGTCCCTCTAAGAGCCTCCCAGTTGCCCAGTGCCCGTGATTGGGACTCACTAGCCTGTAATATTGGGAAACCAGCAGAACTCCAGTGCTTTCCATCCTGAGGTGTTTGGGGACTCCTGGGCTTTACCAAGCACTAAGGACAATGTAGACTGTTCTAGGAGGTACTGCCTCCATGTTCTGATGGGCCACACTGCACCTGGATTGCTGATGGTACCAGTGATATTCTGGAATTCTGTCCCTGCCCAGCAGGTGTTAATGAGGGCAGCAACTGAGGTTCTCTGCACAGGTTTTGGCTCCAGGACTTGGCCCTCCTGCAATTGGTTATTTGGGGCACAGAAGTTTGCCCCCAAACCAGCAGCTGTGGTCTGGCCCTAATGTCTCCCTGCCTGTTGTAGATCTGCTGGAGGTTCTGAGCGACATAGATGAGATGTCCCGGCGGAGACCTGAGATCCTGGGCTTCTTCTCGGTGAGGGAGCGAGGGCTGTGGGGGCAGATGCCCATCCCCTGGCCCTGCCCATCCACTCTCTTGCTGGGCTTCACAGCCCTCTTCTTGTGAATGGAGAAACTGGACAGTGTTTCTCAGACTGCGGAGGAAAAGCCCATAAAGGGCTTTTGCAGAGAAGGGGTTGGAGGTAGACATTGGCCCAGGTGCTCACAGAGGAGTGGGAGGACAAAGCACGGCCACCCCTCTGCTCTGGGCTAAACCTGGACACACAAGTGCTTCCTACCACAGACTGGAGGTCCCAGAACAGTCCAGTGATGGGGGGTGGAGGCTTGGGGAATGGCCCAAGCTGGCCTTTGCCCTTGCCACCAACCCTATGTGTCACCAACCATATGCCCCAGCCAGAAGACTGGGGATTCAGCCCTGCGTGGGAATTTGCCCTAGTAACACCCCCACCCCACCTTGCAGACCAACCTGCAGCGCCTCATGAGCTCAGCCGAGGAGTCCTGCCGCAACCTGGCCTTCAACCTGGCCCTGCGCTCCATCCAAAACAATCCCAGGTAAGTCTTGTGGTGCCCGCTGCACCCAGCTTATGTCCTGAAGCTCTGTGGACTGAGGCCTGCTTGCTAGCCTACTGGGTGCCCTTGGCCAGGACTCCAGGCACGTCTGCTCGCCCTGGCCCCCTGGGTTTGGCCATCGGGCAGAGGTATCCAACTCATGTGTGCCTCTCAACAGCATCGCTGCCGACTTCTTGCCCACATTCATGTACTGCCTGGGTAGCCGGGACTTCGAAGTGGTGCAGACAGCCCTCCGGAACCTGCCAGAGTACACCCTTCTCTGCCAAGGTCAGCCCCCTCAGGTCCCCACTGCCCACTCCCAGGGAAACCCAGATTTCAGCCTCTGAGAGTTGCCGAGTGACTGCTGTTCTTGAGACCCCAGGTATGGTCACCACAGCCCCATCTCCTCCAACAGAGCACGCGGCGGTGTTGCTACACCGGGCCTTCCTGGTGGGCATGTACGGCCAGGTGGACACCAGCGCCCAGATCTCCGAGGCCCTGAGGGTCCTGCACATGGAAGCTGTGATGTGAGCCCTCATAGCCTGACTACGCACCAGCCCAATCCCTCAGCTGACCCACTTGGTCCCTGGGACAGCCCAGGAGGCTGTGGCCACTGGTGGTCTCCAAGAGGAGGGACGGGTGCCCAGTGACCTGAAGACTGGATGGGGAAGCACTCAGCCCATGACCAGTGGCTCTGAGTCAGTAGCTGGCATGGGGCATGCCCGTTTGTCACCCTGCTTGCAAAGTAACAGGTGACACATCCTGGCTAGGAATACTCATGTCCCGGATGTTGTGTTAAAGGACTGATCATAAATGAAAGTTTATCTTGACTGCCTGTGTGGTTTGCCTCCCAAGGTACTGGGAGTGAGTGGGGCCCTGGAGGTGGACACCTGTCCTGATGGGCATATGGGGAGTCCATGTGGAGCCGGCCTGTGCACGTGATCTCAGCCCCTCCTACTGTCCAGACTTCTCTCGGAAGCAAGAGAGGAAGGTATCCCTCTCCGGGCTCCCAGTTCTCTGCCTGTGAGGTTGAGCAGGAGCCATGAGGCCTGATTAGGTTCCCAAGGAAGTGAGGGGCAGGTTCTAGAGGGGGTTAGACTGCAGAACAGTCTCCCTCCCCCCACAAAGGGATGACAGGGCCCTGAAACCTCCACTATGAGCTTTGCACCTAGGCCTACCTCAGGGCGCTCATTAAAGCATGGTTGGCTCAAAACAATCCCATTCACAAAAGGAGTGGACAGTGAGTGTCCCCAAGGTTAAATTGGGGGTTCTGGTGTGAGGACTCTGCCTATGAACTTGTCATGGAACTACTGGCAGGGGCAGTGCCCCAGGAAGTTAATTAACCTCTTTGTGGGCCTTACCCACTGTCTACTTTAGTGCTTTTTCCAGGCCTGTTGTCTTGTTTTTATTGGAGTTAAGGCCATCACTCTCCCACCCACACAGCAGCCAGAGACATGGTGGTGCCACCCTCACCCCATTTCCCTGTTAGTGCCCAGCATTCAGAGACCCTCTCTCCACTGACAGCCCAGGCCCCCACCTCCCTAACCAGGCCCTGACCTACCCCTCAGGCAGTGTTCTCCACCAGCCCAGCTCCTGCTGCTCTGGGGCCACCAGGGGGCACTGGAGCTAACATGACTGTTACCAGGGCCTTCCTGAGAGCGGGACTAGAAAGTCCTGTTGGCACTGCTTCAGTTCACTGCCTCACCTCCGGAGACTGACCTTGGGAGGGGCCAGGAGTCGCCTCACACTCTGTGACTGCAGGACTGTGCCCTTCGCCCCAGAGGCTGCTGGTGATGGGCCATTCCCTGCATCCTGAGCACAACCTTACCTGACCTGGGGGTGCATTGGCCCCCACCCCCCAAACCTCTGTGTGGAGCAGACTGGTGCTCATTGTTCTCCTGAATCCTTCTTCATGGCCACCCTGTGTTCACACACCCCTCACCCCCGCCCCGCCCTGAGCTCTTGGCATGTCCCACCCACCAGTGGGGACACCTAGCCCAGCTGCCCCCTTTGGACCATGTCACTTAGAGACAGTACTAGGGCACTGCCCACCTGGGCTTGGTAACAGCTGCCAGGACACCTGTGCACCTCCCAAATGCTCCTTCCCCAGGGCCCAGAGCTACGGGCAGGTGTGTTCCCATGGTCGGGCTGCAAGCTCGGGCCCCTGGAATCCAGGAAAGTGAAAAATGACTGGGGCCTGAGCATGGCACTCTGAGACGCGCCGGGGGAGTTGGAGAGGGGGACTTGGACCCCTCTCCCACCTGCTCCTCAGCATGGGGCCAAGGCTGGAGGAAGCCAGAAGGCTGGGCATAGCCTGAACCCCTGTCCAGCCTCGGCTTCCTCATCTCACAAACAGCATCAGCATGCACTCTGGCCAAGGGGGGTGGGGGTGGGGAATGCCTCGCTGTGAGATAAGGGAAATTCCAGCATCCTTAAAGTGCCACTCCTCATGTCAGATTGACAAAAACACATCCTGCCCAGGAAGGGAGATGCAGGCGGCTACTCATGTGTCCACTGGCTAGGTGGACAGCCCTGCAGAGGCACCTACAAATTCACAGCATAGGATTTACCCTGCTGTGCTCCAGATGCCAGCTTAACCATGGAAAGCCCTCTTGGGTCATAGACTGGGTTTGGGAAGGGCTTCCTAGAGTAGCAAGGAGGTGGGGTGGGGGTAGACAGAAAGCTCAGTAGCTGCTGCGGTCCTGGGCATGACTGGACAGCCAAGCAGCCCTCTCTGGGCTTCCGTTTCTCTCCTGTTTAGAGGAGCTGTGCTCACCTGCTGGGTGAAATGGAGGTTGTCTAAACCAAGGCATCTGTGTGAATAGCTGGCAGGTAGGTAGGGCGGCCTGTCTCCTAAGCAATGGAGGGGACAGTGGGAGTGCCCGTCATGTCCACCCACCCTGGCAGCTAATGCCAGGCCGAGAGACTTGGTGACTCCCAGTTGGGGTACCCATGGGCAGATGGTCACTGCACTGAGCCTTGACATAGCCCTTGGGGAACAGCCTGGCCGCCTACTGCTGCCAGGCTGGGATCTGAGCCTGGGCTTGCTTCAGCCCTAGTGGGGCTGAAGCAAGTTCATGGGGGCTGAAGCAGGTTCATGGAGATCTGAACCAAGCCTGGACAGAAATGGTGGATTTGAGATTTGGAATCTGAAGTTGCTGGTCCCAGGATGGACAATGAGGATGTGTATGGGGCCACCAGAGCCCCACTGATTTACCCCCCTTTCACTCATGGCTGCTCCCCACAGAACCACTGGGGTCAGAGCCTAAGGCCCTGGAAACCAGCTCTGAACAGGTCGCCTGACCATAGGTTTCGGAGGCAGCTTCCCTCAGTGAGTGGGATAGGAAGCTCCCCATCATAGGGGTCAGTGGGACCAGGAAGGCTGCAGGGCTCCACATGAGTCCTGTCCCAGGCTCCAAACTTCCTTCACTCAGGGTCAAAGGGCAGCCAATCATGGCTTCCTTCATCAAGTGTAGTAAAGGGTGAGACCAGGTAAGATGTTGCCATGGCGAGTTCACCTGCTTCCCTGCAGCCTCATAAACCTGGCTTCATTTTCAGTTCTGGGAAGGGATGGACTTTGACTTACGAACAGGCCAGACAGCCCAAGACTGGGCAGAGAGCCGAGAGATTCTGCCAGCCTAGGGCCCCCAGTACCTCTGGAGCCCAGTCTCCCCGAAGGTGTCCCACTGAGCCCTAGATAGGTGCCCACGGCCATGGGCAGGAGCTGCTTAGGGGCCTGGGGCCAGGAACTTCCCCCTCCCCTCCCTGTTTCTTTCCTCAGAGCAACTTAAAGTTCTGACCTGATGAAACCAGGTAGAGGTGGAGTTGTTTCAGAGGAAGTTATGGCTGGAGGCCCTCCCTGGGGAAGTGACCTGTTAGCAACACTTGGGGGACTGCATGGGCACAGGGCTAGAAATTCTGGTTCTCATTGGTCCAAACAAGACCCAGGCCGAGGCCCAGGCTGATATCTAGAGGAACAGGGGTTGGATCCCACAAATCCTCTGCCTGTGGGAACCAGGAAGGGTAGTTCAAAAGGTGGAAAGCCAGTGGGTATTGATGGGTGAATAGGAGTTTTCCAGATGAAGACTCAGTTCATGACTATAGTTGGGGGTACAGGGATCTCATCTGCCATCATGTGTGGGTGGTCAGCCTACAGTCTTGGTTTCCCACCTGTGTCCTTGTATAGTCAGCTTAAAGTGACTGCAGGGCTCAGCAGGGAGCAAGGGCTGGGCTCAATACATTTGTCCAATGAGTGGCCTGCTTCTGGCTGTTCCAGGTAGGGTAAGCAGGCCACAGGAGGAAGAGTCTGAGGTGACTAGCTGCACATTCCCAGCAAGGTTTGCACACACGCCCCTTCCCTTCCTCATCCTGCCTGCTTGTGGTCACATATCTGCAGATAGGGAGAGGAGCTGGATTAGGGCAGGGCATTGACTGCAGAGTCCAGGCCTCACTGCCCACTAATGGAGGAAGCAACTGCTGACCACCCTCGGCACATCTAGGCTGCTGCTGTCATCAGCTTCCTAGGGGCTTTCAGGGGTGCTGAGTAGGAGCTGGGGTGCTGTAAAGGGGTTGCAGGGTCCCAAAGACAGGAGCCCAAAGGGTGGAGAGGGGAGGGGCTACAGGTTAGAGACCAGAGTGTGGGATTGCCCCGACCATGGGTCCTCCGAACCCCTCCCCCTGCCACCCTGAATCCTGGAGTCCCCCTTCACCCCCTGGAGTTCTCCAGTCCAACTTCCTTTAAGGTAGGGGGCAACTTTGACCATTCACCTCCAACCCTGGGATGGGTAATGCCATGGACACCCAGGACTCAAATGCTGGCTTGACACTGTGTCCATGGCCTGGGACACATCACTCTCCTAAGCTGTGTTCACACCTATAAAATGGGTATGATTACCTGAGTTTCAGGGTGGCTGTGAGCTGCATCTGATACACAAATTGCTCAATGAAGGTTGTCTGGAGCTATTCTGTGAACAGAGAGGTGCTGTGATGTGGCCAGGGACACACAGCATCTGAGGACTGGGCTTCCATCTGCCCTGGTCCCACTGCCTGGTCACCCCCACCATGCTCTGTTTACTAGGAGCTCAAAGGGCCAGGCCCCATTACAAGGGGTTCCTATAAATGGCATGAGGAGGATTAATAATGTATTTATAACACATCGTAGTGGTAGCCGAAAATGATCTATAAATGTGCGGTAAATGTTTTATAATGTTTTTGTAACCCGTTATAAATGATAAATGGCAGACTATAGATGCCGGATCAAATATTTATAATGCATTGTGTGCGACGTTGGGCTGCTACAGTTCAGGAAAGCCATTAATAATAAAGTGGATGGAAATGTAAAAGTTACCGACATGCCCAGCAAAGCCATTTATAATGAAATGTAAAATTCGGCTGTTGGAAGCAACCAACAAGCCCCAGCCTGAGCACTGGCCAGGTTCTCCCAGAGCCTGGGAAGAAGCAGGATCGTGAATTATTTGTGAGGTGTTCAGACGAAAACATATACTATCCATAGCATGCCATATAAATATGCTATTAATATACTCAGGGCAACATGCATTATTCATCAGGTCTAATTAATTAATGGGTGGGCCCCTTAAAATGGGGTGTCACAGCTTCTAGCTCCCTCTCCTGCTTGAAGCCATAGGGATGGCCTTGGCTGCCCGAGCTGTTGGCTGACCTGACTGTGGCCTTGCAAGTTGGGGGAGGAGGGGATACCCCTTGATGAGAAGTGGAGCTGGTATGTTGAGAGCCTGCTGAAGCCACTGGCTCCAGCCACCCACAAGGCTCCCAGGGTATCTGAGCTCCCTCCCACCCTGAAGACATTCATGGGGTCATTTTGGTTGTAGTTGGAGTTTCAATACACTCGACAAAGGAAACAGAGTCACAAGATGGATTACTCACAGATCTGAGAAATGGCAGTGGGATGCGATGAGTTGGGGGGAGGGCAGCCTGTGTCCCAGGCCACAGCCAGCTGGGCAGCAGAGCCTGTTACTGAGAGCATTGGGGTAGAGGGCTCTCCGCTTTTCACAGGTTCAACTCCAGGTGGTTGTTTTACAAGGTGTGGGTGGGGAGCAGGGGTTGGAGAAGCAAAGCAGGAACTTCAGATCTTAGTCCTAAAGTCAAGTTCTTATCTAAAAGTCCAGGCTCTGGGTGTGAGCGGGCTGCCAGCACTGTTAAAATGCTTAGGCAGCAACTCACAAAAACAGAAGTTGTTTTCTCATCACAATCCCTTAACTTTCAGTTGTGAGGGCCCCCACCCCAGCCACTGATCCCCTCTGCCCAGCTGTCTCCTTAGACACCTGCCTCCTGCTGTGGCCATCACCACCATGGGTCCACCTGTCTGACGGCTGTCATGCATGAGCCAAGCTTCCCTGTCCTACCTTGTGGAACTCTCATTTGGTGAGATGCTCCTGCTGCAGGAGAGCTGTGGGCACATTGGTTTGGGAACCCCTGTGTGGTGTGGCTGCCCCCTTGGGAGTCTCATACAGCTGGGAGGGAAAGGCTCTGAGAAGTCCTTCAGGGCCTGTGTCCAGGCACCTACCTACCTGGGCTCCTCTCCTCCCCCACTTCCCTCTGCCTTGATGGCCTTAGACACGCCAAAGTCTGCTGTGTTCTGCCAAGTGCCCTTGATCCCTGACCAAAGACCCATCCCCTTTGGTCAAATCAGTTGCTTGGGTTGACCCACCCACTGTTCCAAGTGTGGCGCTCAGTACCTGCCACTTGACCCCCTCTAGGGCCCCAGTTGTGTCTTCAGGAATTACTCAAGCTGGAACTGGCTTTGTGGAGTAAAACTAGTTCTGCCTCTGGTCCCTCCTCAATCCCCAGCACTGTTCCTGCTTTCCAGACGGGCTAAGGATCCCCATCTCCCAACCATCATCACTGAGAGGGTCGAACAGGAGTTGGAAGCTGGAAGGAAAGTGAAACTGCTTGGTCTGGAAGTCCTACTTCAGGGCCACCCTTGGGAAGAACATTAGCCTGCCTGCCCCAGGATCCTCTGCCTGCCCCTTGGAACCTGTTTCTTGAACAGTACAGTACAGGCCTCAGCTCTCATGTTCCTTCAGAGGCCAAAGAATGGATTTTACCATCTGATGGGATGGTGCGTCCACTTGGGGCACCCTCACAAGTGCAGTTTGGGTTTGTCTGTGTGTCAGTCAGGTTAAGCATGCTAGCTGCTATGACAAACAAGCCAGCCCACTTTTGCTTCTCAGCCGGAGGCCAACACAGATGTTCCTGGTCAGCTGGCCTGCTGCCTGGCCCTGCAGTGTCTGAGTTCCTCCATCTGTGGCCCCATCATCCAGCAGGTCTTTTACATCCAGCCAGTAGACTGGGGAAGATGGCAGTGTCCCCATCCCTTCTGTTGGCCAGAGCATAGCCAGGTAGGCCAAGTAGCCTAATTGGAAGATTTGGTCCAAGTAGAGCCAACAGTGAATGCAAATGTCCTGAGACAGGGGTGCAATGAGCAAGTCTGAGGAGCATTAGCAGGAGAGGAGGTGGGAGAGCTAAGGTTAGAGGGAGGGTGGGATGGGCCATTACAAGGACTGTGTTTTCCTTGTGAATGGGGTGGGGATCTAGGGAGAGGTTGGAGCAGAGGTGGCTGCGCGTTCTCCTGTTTTAATGATTCCATATCATTTTGAGAACAATGGGGACCAGGCAGGAGAATGCGGTTGGAAGGTGGTGATTGTGGCCAGTTTCCTGCTGGGTCTGACTTGGCCAGTGAGGACGGGGTGCCCCTAGGCTGTGCCTGAACAGCTGGTGAGACAGAGTTGTTGCTGGGACCTGTTGGGGCTGGTGGATAAGAGGAATTTATTTTTTATATTAAACATTTTATTGTGGTAGAACAAGGAGACCTTGTGAGGGTGCCCCAAGTGAACGCACCATCCCATCAGATGGTAAAATCCATTCTTTGGCCTCTGAAGGAACATGAGAGCTGAGGCCTGTACTGTACTGTTCAAGAAACAGGTTCCAAGGGGCAGGCAGAGAGGATCCTGGGGCAGGCAGGCTAATGTTCTTCCCAAGGGTGGCCCTGAAGTAGGACTTCCAGACCAAGCAGTTTCACTTTCCTTCCTGCTTCCAACTCCTGTTCGACCCTCTCAGTGATGATGGTTGGGAGATGGGGATCCTTAGACTGTCTGGAAAGCAGGAACAGTGCTGGGGATTGAGGAGAGACCAGAGGCAGAGCTAGTTTTTACAGAGCTTCCTTTTGCGGTTTCTGACTTTTCTACAATAAATATGGATTGCTTTGTTCATGGGAAAAATTATTAGAACTTTTTCCAGCAACTTCCTCCTCTGCCTGCATTGTTTCAGGAGTTTGAAAACACTCTAGAGGGTCTGGGCATCTCATTGGTCCCTCAGTCCTGGGCCCAAGTGTGAGCACATGACTCTGCATTTATTGAATGCCTATTGTGTACATAGCCACTGGGTAACCCTTGTGGGGAGGGGTGTATAATAGCTCTTGGATTATGAGGGAATGAATGCCAAGAGAGGGAAGGCGATTATGAAGACCACACAGGAAGGCAGTGGGTAGCTGATGGACCTTCCTGGAGCTTCTCCCTCACACCAGACCCCTCTCCAAATCCAGGTCACCAGATAGCATTGCAGGAAGCTGGTGGTATTGGGTGCCAAATCGTCCCTCTGGGTGGGAAGCAAAGTGGTAATGAGGGACGAACAGGGTTCTTTAGTGGCTGAGATGCCACTGCTCCAGCCCTTGGTCATATGTGCCTAGGCAGGACCCACCCTTGGGAATACACAGATGATGGGGCTCCAGGTCTGATAGAGGAGGCAGAATCCACAAAGCAGCCCTTGAGGAGGGTTGAGGCCAGATGGAACCCTGCGACCAATTGTCTATGTCACTTTGATAGCTCCTTGACTGGCCCCAAGAGCTTGGGATATGAGGAGTAGCTGAGTACAGGCCATCAGCATGGCACAGACTCTGAGGCAGAAGGGAGGTGAAGTCTGGCATTGCAGGGGTGATAAGGCCAGGAGACTGACAAGGAGCCAGAACTTTAATCACTGGGCCTCAAAGGACCAGCAGGGAGGGACTGGTTAGACTGACTTTCTGGAAAGATCCCTGGCCTGCTGGGTAGGGTGGACTGTGGTGGCTGCAGGGCAGGAGGGAGTGGCACAGTGGTTAGGGTCGAGTGAAGGTGCCTGGACTTTCTAGGGAACTTTGGAGAGGAGCAGGGGACACGCTGTGTATGATAGGGAACACCACCACAAATGCTGCTTCCAAGTCACTGTCTCCAGAGGAGGCCATGTGGTGACTGAGGGTCAGACTGCAACTGTATCTGCTAAAAACCAAAGCTTAGCCCCCCTTCAGCTCTTCCTATCAAGGGTGGTGGGCCCCTAGCCCTGGCTGTCCTTTTCCCCACCCCTGCCTTTCCTCCTAACTGCTGCCTAGGGGGAGAGGGAGTCAAGAAAACCAGGTGGTTTCTGGTTCAGGGACCAGCCCCCAGTCCTGGCAAGACTTTTGTCCTCTTGCTGGGAAGCTCCAGCAGGACAGATCAGCAACCTGGCCAGCTACAATCTCCCGGGGGCTCCCTGCAGATAATCTGCTTGCATGCCCCTTTGCACAGGCCTCACACTGTTGGGTAGGTGCACCCATACCTCAGGGCCCAGCTGCAGGAAAGAGCAGGGGTGGCTTTGGGATAGAAGAGCAGTCTCTGCTCTTTCAAATGGGCACAGGGAAGCCCTGCCAGGAGCCACTCATGGGAAAACACCTTTCTCTGTCTTGTCTGGACAAGCCCTGGGGTTTGTGGCCAGCCTGGTGGGGTCATCTCACATTTCTGGTGTCAGTGTTTCCAGTTTTGTCTGTCCAAGTCCATGCCATAGCCAGGTGTCACAAGAATGTGGAGGGGAGCTCACCATTGAGGGCCCCAGCAGAGGGACTCTGCCTCGATTGCTTGCTTACAGATGTTCGCAGTGGAACTCTGGGAGACAGATCACTGCAGCCTGAGGCCTGTGCCCAGGAGCAGCCTGAGTGGACAGTTCCTAGTGAGGCGACTCCTGGTGGGCACTACCCCCACCTCAGGCCACTCCACACACTGCCCCTTTCCCGGCCTCACTGCCTCTGTGAATCAGGAGTGCTCCCTGACTTGCCCAGGACACCCGGCATGAGAGCTCAGATAGGAAAATCCTTTGAAAACCCAGAAATGCGTGGGCATTCCCGCCATGTTCTCAGGGGGCCTCTGGGAGGCCGGGGCTGCCTCCACCCTTTCCTGGCCGTGACCCCCAATAGCGTGCCCTTTGCCAGCCGCTTCTCCGTTAGCGTGAAACACACATGCAAAGTCAAAACGGATCCGCGGAGGTCAAGACCCCAAGACCAGCACTGCCTCCTCCCTGCCGGGACGGTGGGCAGCAGGAGGAGGCGGGGCCGGGGCCCCGGAGTGTAGGCTGGGATTTGCGCGGGGCCTGGCCGGGGGTGGAGCCTGTGCGGGGGCGGCACCAGGCGGGAATTTTCCAGAGAGCAGGGTCTGGGGACGGGGCCTTCCGGGGACCCGGGAAGGGCAAACTGCCCGGGCCGTTACTAGTCGGGGGCGGCACCTGGACCCAACGGGGGCCGGCCCGGGCCCTAGAAGGGCCGGCTTTTAATTTAGGGGCGGAGCCTACACCGCGGGGGCGGGGCTTTCTGGAGCTAGGTCCCCCCTGGGGGCGGGGCCTGGGCGGGGCTGCGGCCTGTTGGGGGCGGGGCCTGCCGGGGGCGTGGCCGGTCGGGGGCGGGGCCGGCCGGGCAGATTTCGGCCGCAGTCTCCCTGGTTCCTCCGGCCGCGGCTCGCCGTCCTCCCGGGCTCAGGCGGGCGGGCCTGCGGGTCTGTGCAGGGTCCGCTAGGGCGAGCCGAGCAGCGGCCCCGGGCCAGCGCTGCTGGGGGTGCCCGCGCTCCGCTGGATCCGCCGCCGTTTGGGCGGGCACCGCTAGCCTCATGGCCGCCATCAAAGCGCTGCAGCAGTGGTGCCGGCAGCAATGCGAAGGGTACCGGGACGTGAGCATCACCAACATGACCACTTCGTTCCGCGACGGCCTGGCCTTCTGCGCCATCCTGCACCGCCACCGGCCCGACCTTATGTGAGTACCCGCGCTGCCCTGCGCCCGCTGCTCCCGGGCTCTGCCGGGGAAACTGAGGCTCAGACCTGCTTTGGAATGGGGGAAAGCGGAGCGGTCAGAACTACCGGACTGCTGCGGTGAAATGGACCATCTAGGTCCCCTAGAGGCTGTTCCCAGTGGCCTCAGTTTGCCCATCCACCAAGTGGAGCTGGGCCCCGGCCAAGATATCCGGCCGCCCCCGCTGGTTTAGTCAGCCCCTGACTCAGGCCAGCGTCCTGGGCCCTGGCCACAGCCACCCGCTCCCACTTCCACTTCCATCTGCCTGGGAAAGAGCTGGCTGAGCTGCCTTTCTGAGCCCTCTGAGACTCCTGCTGTTCTGGGAGTTGCCCATGAAATCAGGGGCTTCAAGTGTGGTCCTACTCTCCCCCTAACCCTCACAGGCATCTTTACGAATTCAGGGCAGGGTCACTGTGGGGGAGGCCAAAGCAGAGCAGAAGCAGCAGACTCTCCAGGTCCTGCAGGTCATGTCTCCCACCCTTGAGTGATAGGGGAGGAGATGGAGGCTTAGCCCCCATCTCCTGGAGCCGTTAGAGGTGGGGAGGTAGTAGGTTGTCTGCCTTCCAGGTGGGTCTTGGACCTGTGCCTGGGTAGGCTGGCCTGGTCTTGTTGCTGCATCTTGTCCTAACCTTGGACTGTTCTATTGGTTAGTCACTCAGCAAATGTTCTTTGGCTGAGTGACTGGGGCCTGGCTTGATAGGACAGCACTCTGTATGGTGGGGCTGCAGCCCCTGCCTCACCTTGTGTGAACTTGCTGCAAGGGAGGGTGCCTGGGCTGAATGGACAGAGGCTCAGGGAGTGTGTCCTTGGAAGACCACCTGCAGCCCATGCACATTCTAGAGAAAGTATGATGTTTCAAACATTCTTCTGAGAAGTCACAACTGGAGAATGGAATGGCTGGAGTGTGTGTTTGTCAGGGAGAGGCCAGAGGCAGCACCTTTTAGATGCTGGCCTTTGTCAGGCCTCTTACTGTACGGATGGGGAAATTGAGGCCCAGAGAGGAGACACCCTTGTTTAGGTCACAGAGTGTGTCCCAGGCAGAGGCAGTGCCAGCACTTGGGGCTCCTTCCTTGTATCCAGATGTCCCCTGTACCACTAGGTACTGTCCTCTACTCTCTACAAGGAAGCTAATCTTAAGAAAGAAGGCTGCACATTTCCTCCTCCCACCAAGGTTGTGCAATACCTTTGTGGAACCTCCTGGGGAGTCCTCATATGCCACTTGGGCAGCAGCTTCTCTTCCTGCTCAAACTGTGTGTCAAAGTCACCCTCAGAGGCAGAAAGTATTCGGGAAGAATGTGCTTCCACTTTGTTTTTGTTTTTTGGTTTTTTTTAAAGAAATATTTACTTATGCATACAAGAACTGGGGTACAGGCCAGAGTGTGGGGCTGGTAGTGGTAAGAGAATCGACAGAGACACAGTAGGGAATAGAACAGGCGGATTGACTGAAATATACTGCTGAGGGGAGCAGCGGGCAAGACAGGAGAGGTCTGCTGTGCCATGTGGGTTGCTCCCTGGGCGGGTATCGAACTCATGCTCAGAAGCTGCGGACAGCTTCACAGTGCTGTGCTTAACTCCTTGTACCACCAGGGAGGCCCTGTGCTTCCACTTTGAACCCTCAAAGCTGAACTTTGGAAGTAGGCTGGGGATTTGGGGATCGGGAGAGAGGCTTGGAGCAGAGGATGGCAAGTGGAACCTCAGCCTGGTGCACAAAGGGTCCCAGGTAAGGCTGACTGGGGACAGAGCCAGGCAGCCTAGCCCAGGCTGGCATGAGATTGGAGGGGAGGATGGTGCTGCTGTCTGCTGGCCCGGGGGCCTCAGGATGACACCATGGGTATAACTGGAGATTTGGGGCCTTTCCGAGTCCCTGGAGCTTCCATTCGCTCCCAGCTCTGCTGGGTGTGTGCTGTGAGCATGCCTGTCCCAGCACGCACTGCCTGCAGTGAGCACAGGTGTGCACACATGGGCGTGTACGTGTGCTGGCACAAAGAGGCATCCTATAGTCAATCATTAACTGTTATTGAGTGCCTACTATGTACTCAGCACTGTCCACTCTGCAAGCTATCTGGGCCTCTGTCTCAGGAAGACATTCTACTCGCAGAGACAGTAAACTGATACATGACTAAGCTCTCAAGGTGACTCCAGAGATGGTGAGGGCCAGGATTTGGAGGAAGCTGGGAGGAAGAGGCAGCCCCCCACCCTGCAGTTACACATGGGCATCAAGTTTTCTTATTTTCTATTGACTTGGTTTTTGTCCATCTGCCCCCACTGGACTTTCAACTCCAACACAGTGGGGGTATCCCTTCTGTTCACTGCTATATCCCCAGTGAGGAATGGTGTCTGGCACATGACAGGTGCCCTGGAGATCTATAGAAAAGGGTTTTCTCTTGTGGTTCAATAGATATGGTAGGAGTTAGGCCATTGCAATTCAGGGTAGGGCTCTGAGGAAGCTGAGGAGGAGGCCACGTGAACACAGTGTCAGATTGGAGTGTTGCAGATACTAGCCAAGAAATACCTGGAGTCAGCAGAAGCTGGTGGGATATTAACAGAGCTCCCCCAAAGCCTCTGGAGGGAGCAGCCACCTTGATGTCAGACTTCTGGCCTACAGAACTGGGAGAAACGTGGTGTTGAAACAACAGTTTAAACTGCCCTAACCCCATCTGTGGTCATTTGTTACAGCCGTGGTAGAAGGCCAGCACAGTTTTCATATGTGGCAGAGCAGAGGAGGATCTTGGTAGATACCAGTTGATCAAATACCACAAGTGTAATTGGGGTGTGTGACCACCTGCCCAAGCCCCTTCGTGGTGCCAGTGTTTGCGCCTTGACACCTCTCATCCCTGGGCTCCCTGCCGTGCCTCGGGGACAAGTTAGTAATTTGAAGACGGGTCTCACCAGGAAGCCCAGAGTTGCCCTGCTGACCCCCCAGTGGTGCAGGAAAGGGAGGAAATGAGGGGAAGGACAGGCACAGAGTGAGTGTCTTCTTGGGGAACCCCCGAGGTCAGCCTGGGGGTGCGACCCAGCCGCCGAGACTCCTGTCCTGTGAAGAACGCAGCAGGAAAGTGGACATCCTGTCTGCGTGTCTCCTCTTTGCCACCAGGAAGTCCTTCTCTTTGTCTCCTCTCAATCCTTCCTGCTGCACATGAGGAGCCTTTTCCTTTTGGCCCAAGGTGGAGAGTAGCTCTGAAGGAGTAAGTGTGGGCAGTAAGCCAACCAGGTGGCAGACCTCAGTGGCTGACTCCTAGTCCTGCCTCTGCCTTTCAGGAGTTCATGAATGACCTTGTCCTGGGAGGTGTGTATGACCCACCTGGGTCGGGCCCCTGTCTGGCATGAATAGTCAGGGTCAGAAGACAGCGTGGTCAGGAGGAGCCAGCCAGTCCAGGCCAACCTGCTCCTGTCTGCCTCCTGGCTGCAGGCTCTGCAGGTAGGCCTCAAGGGTGCTGGCACAGAGGCTGTTTCCCCAGTGACATCCCATCTGCCCCATGGCCAGGTGAGCTCATATGCCCAGTGCCTCTGGGCAGTGAAGTTGTCAGGGTGGAGCTGCTGCAGTGTGGCCAGCCCCTTCCTTCCCGGGCCTGAGAAGCACGGTGTTTCCAGGGTGAGGCAGGCCCCGGGGGAGCCCGTCCCAGCTTTGCAGAATGGGTGTGGGGGTGAGGCTTCTTCCCCTGGCTCATTTCAGGAGGGGCAATTGAGGCAGGGGTTGTTTCTAGGAGCCATGGGGGAGCCAGGGGTATGGTGTCAGGAAGCGGGGCTCTGCTGGGCTTCCCTACCCCTCCATCCTGTTGGTGGGGGAGCCTGATCTTTCTCAAGGTCCCTGCAATTTCTGAGACCTGTGGCAAGGCTGGGATCAGAAGCATGGGGCAGCTCCCTGACTGCACTGGGAGACTCGCCTGTTGTTGGGGAGTCAGGAAAAACTCATACCCAGGGGCCCCACCCAAAAACTTGGAGGCAATGCTGCCTCCCTTCCTGGGCCAGAGCAGAGGGTGGGCTGGGCCAGAGTGGCCAGGCTGACCTCTCCTCCCACGCCGGCTTGGGGTCAGCAGGAAGCTGCCTGGGGACAGAAGCCTTCTGTTCCCAGTCTGAGGCCCTGCTGCCAACTTCCAGCCATACTGCCAAGGTTGGGTGTGGGAGGGGGCTGTCAGCTACCTCCTGGGGGGCAGCCCAGTGCCCATTGCTCCCCATAAAGCCTCTCAGACTGACTCCTGCTGAACCCTGCTCTGGGGCCAAGTGGGGGCTCAGGGTCTGCTCCAGCCTGGGGGAGGCCTACAGCTGGGCAGTTCACTTGCCTGCCTGGTGACAAGAAGGGGCCCTGAGACCTGACCTGACCTGTCCTTAGGTGCCTCCTGTGCCCCACCTCTCCCAGGAGTCTTCTAGGTGTATTTGCCTTGGTGTGTTTCCCTTAAGATTCCTCACTCCTGTGAGTGACCTCTCCTGTGTGGCCCCCACTCTCCCTCTCTGTTTCAGGCTCAGTTCTCAGCCTGTTTATCTGTCTCCCCCTTCCATGTTCCCCGCCCCCACTCCCTAGTTCCCCTTCCCGCTTGAATTAACTCCAGATGTGCTGGAGCTGCTGGGTAAAAGGGCCAGCCTCAAGCTCTTTCCCTTCTGTCAGCCCCCTCCCACTCCGTGCCCACCCCCTGCAGCTGTATTTGGTTCCAGGAAATAAACAGCATGAGGTCAGCTCTCCAGGAATTTGGAAAGGGGTACACATTCCCCAGAGCCCCAAAGGCGCCAGGGGCAGGAGGATGGCTGACTGGACCAACTGCAGTTAAAGTGGTCAGTCGTGGCCAGTGGGAGGTAAGCGGGGAGGGGCCTGGAGGCCTCAGCTCTCAGCCATGCCTGCCGGCTGGGTCCATGTTGGCATGGAGACAGCTGATTGGTGGACAAACTGCATGACAGACATGTACACCCATGATTTCATTCATTCGGGTGGTATAGAAAGAAGAAATGAACGCTCTGAAAGTCCCCTCAGTCAGCAAGCATTGGACGAGGTGGCTCATTAATGAGCATTTACAGAGTCCGCGCCGTATGGCCCCGTCCCGTGGCAGGTACCTCTGAGTCCTACCAGAACATACTTGATTTTAAATTATGAGCATTTGGCTAAAAAAAAAGCTATTCTTGGGCCAGGACCCACCTCCTGGAATAACAGCTGCTCACCAACCAAACAGTGCACTTTGTGCATTTAAAACGGTGCATTTTGGTCCCGCAAGGACTTAGCAGGCTGGTCACCTCCTAAGGTTAGTGAAAGTGAGGCTGTCAGTCCCTGAGGCTTGACCAACAAAGCGCCGCAGAGGGGTGACTCAAACACCAGAAATGCACCTTGTCACCTCAGGCAGAGATTCCAGGTCAGGGGTTACAGCCTGATTTCTTTTGAGCCGTGAGGGGAAATTGGCTCCAGGACCTCTCTCCTGGCTTACAGGACAGCCTTCCTCTCTCTGCACACAGGCTGCTTCCAACTTCCCATTTTAATAAGGACGCTGTCCTGTTGCCTGAGGGCCCACCTTGTGACCTTATTTTCACCTAATAACCTTCTTTCCAAATAAGGTCATATTCTGAGGTTCTGTGGGACCCTGACAGATCTTTTTGAGAAAACAATTCAACTCACTACACCATCCGGGGGTTCCCCCACTGCTGGAGGAAAACTGGTCATGCTTCCTGAGAGGGATGGGTGGGTCACTGCGTGGTGCTCTGAAGGCATTTGCAAGGCAGTGTTGTCCCCAGGCCTCTGGGGACATGAGCTCATGCCTCAGCCAGCCAAATGCTGGCCATTCAGGGACTAGTGGGGTGCCTCTGGGTAGGGGACTGGCGGGGTGCCCTAGGATGTAGAGAACAGCAAGAGCCCAGACACAGCGGCTGGGAGGGGCGAGCTTGGTCCGGGACGGGTGTGGTGGCATGAGACCAGCCAGGGTGGAGGTCATGGGGGCCCAGGGAAGCAGCATGGGCCTGGTTCTAAGGGGCAGTGGTTCTTGAACTTGTGTGGAAGGGGGTTCTGCAACCGCCCTACCTGCAGGTCTCTGACCTGCTCAGCTGTTGTGGGGTGCCCTGGTATACCTGGGAAACTGGGGTGCCCTGGTCCACCTGGGGTCTGAGATGCTCTCTCTGAGTCTGGAGGAAGAGAGTGCCCTACAGGCAAATGGCTGGCCTGCATCCCAGGACGGAACTGCTGCAGCCCCATGAGTTGGAAGAGGCAAATGCAGGGGCAGAGAGCCCCCTTCCTCTTTGTTTGGAGACAAAACAGAACTTGTTATCTTGCCCTCCCACTGCTGGGGCATCTTGCTGAGGACATGGCCAGCCATTTGGTCAGTGACCCCAGGCAGGTCTGGAGAAGAGATTGAGTGTTCAAAGAGATGGGTTGGGGGCGGGAGGGAGGGCGATGGGGCCCGCATGACTGAAGGTTCCCTAGAACTTTGAATGGAGACCTGCCACTCCACGTGCCGTGAACTTTCTTGGGGTGTGGCTACCTGCAGGGACAAACCCAGAATGGATGGTGGGTGTTCAGGCTGTGTTGGTCTAAGGCCTTGTCTGGCAAGAGCGTGCCACCCCCACGCTCCCCATTCCTCCTGTTCACTTGTCCACCTGGAGACAGATCTGTTCACCATCCTGTCCTGTGCTCTGGGGTGGTCTCAGCATCTGGAACACGTTACCTGGGAGGTGGTCCAAGCGGAAACAGTAAGGTTTCCCAAGGAGGCTGGGGGGGTGGGGTGGTGAGGGGGGCAAGAGGAGGGGTTGCTCCCCAGGAGGAGAGCCATAGTTCCCAGCTCCCCTGCAACCACTATTGGGCAGTGGGGGAGGGGCACTACCCCCACCTCAGTTTCCTCATCTGGCTAATAGGCCTCCCACATTGTCATGGGGGTCAGGGAGGCAGGGTCAGTATCTGGTCAGGGCGGGGAGCCAGGGCATCCAGGCTAGGTGGCTACAGGGACTCAGCTCCCTCTTCCTGCTCATGCAGCTAGGGCCTCAAATTCATCTGAAGCCAAGGTTGTCTTCTCAGATGGGAAACCCAGGCCTCAGAGAAGAGAGGGCTCACCTGGGCTCAGGCAGTGCTGCCTGGGTATCTCTTAGACTGAGCTCTCTCCCCTGCCCTGAGCTTCCAGAACAATCCTGTGCACACTGAAGTGGTAACACTGAGGACAGACAGATCAGCCCCCCTCAAATGCTTGCTTACCTCCGTGTCAGGCTGGGCTAGGTTGCCTGCTGGGATCTCAGTGTCCTCCAGGTGTGGGATGGCTATGATGTGCTGGGGCATGTGCACGAGGCCCTGGGCCAGCCTGGATCTGCCACAGGGGGGAAGTGCTCTTGTCCTCTGTAGGAAGTCCTTCATCTGGCCAGGACTGGCCCTTGCACCAAGGTCACGTGTGTGTGTGTGTTTGCAGAGGAGTGGAGAGGAATGGGTGGGGGTGTGTGTTGGTTGGGGGGTGCTCTGATATTCTCAGCCCCAAGGATCTGCTCAATCAGGAGAGACAGGACACCTGGTGGTTGCCTAATGCCTTCCCCTGAATGGCCAAGCCTCAGTCACCTGGACACCAGGCCATGGCCCTCTTTCTCCATCATTGTGTAGCCATGGCTGTCACAGAGCTGCTCTGGGCCTCAGTTTTCTTCTCTGTGACATACAGACATTGATACTGCCTGTGGTGTGAGCACCAAGTGGATATTTATAAAGAGCTGCATGCTTGGGGTGTTGGGTAGATAATTGAATGATGGGGCACAGGAGGTGGGATGGAGGCTTGGCCTGCCCTGATCATGGGCGGCATGCCTGCTGACCTTGCAAAGCTTTGTTCTCCTTGCATATGGGCTCTGTCCCTTGCCCTGGGAATCTCATGTCCACCTGTGCTCTCCTCCCCAGAATAGTGGCCTTAACCAGCAGCCCATGAGATTTTTGGGGCTTGGAAGAGCAGCCTGCTCTGAGCTGAGCCCTGGCTGGGCCACTTGGGCTGGCTGCTTTGCTTCTCTGGGCCTGCTGCCTGCACCTCAGTTTGTGGCAGGTGCAGTGGGAAGGCTGGGCCTCTGCAGACCACCAGGGTGAAGGCTGAGGCTGAGGTGACTGGAGTGGTGGTGGCCTCAGTTGTGCCGGACAGCCTCCCTGCACCCAGAGACTTGGCGTGCCATCTCAGTTTCCCCATTTGGGCAAGATGACCCTGAGACACTTCAGCCCCTTCCCTATGAATTGCTTTGGACACATGTATTTTTATTTTCCAGAGACTACAATGCTCTCAAGAAGGAGAACATTTATGAGAACAACAATCTGGTGAGTGTCCTCCACCCTTAGTCCATGTCCTGGGGGCCATATGGTCCACAGCCATCCTGAGCTGGGTGGCCCCAATTCTCCAGAAATACCCAGGCCCTGCTGGTGCATGCTTTCTTGGCAAGGGAGGGCATGGTTCAAGCAGAACAGGGTCCAGAGTTGGCTTTGGGAGGAGGGCAGGGCTCCTGGGTGGCCCTGGGTGGGTCTTGGATGGGCCACCAGCTATTGCCCTCTCAGGGTTGTGAACACACTGCTTCTGGCCCCACTGCTGGGCTGGGCTGGATTCAAGTTCTCCCCTACCACCCCTGCATCAAGGCCATTTCTGCTTCCTTGCTGAAAATCAGCTCCAGTGTCCCATATGGGCTGGTGCATAGAATGTGAGGCAAAACGTGCCCTCAAGTCGGCCAGGTGTTCTCTGTGCCCTTGCCATGCGCCAGGCCCTGTCCTGGCCTGGGGTACAGTGGTGAGCGGGACATGTGACCCTGTCCTCTACACCTGGGACTCCAGCAGGGTCACAGCCGGTGCACACTACATGGTCAAGCCTGCGTGCCCACCTCAGGGGCCATGTGGACAAATTGAATTTAATTTTGACTTAATTAAGATGAGGCAAAGTGACAAATTCAGTTCCTCAGCTGCACTGACCACATTTCAAACAATCATATCTACAGGTGGAACTTTGGGAATAGAACACGTCCGTGGTCACAGAAAGTTCTGTTGGTGTGGTGACAAGAAGTAGCGTGTGGGAAGCGGTGGGGCGTGGGGCCATGGTATCGGCTTGTGTGGCCATTTGAGGAAAGGCCTGGCTGAGGAGACGTGAGGGAGCCCTGGCATCTGGAGGAAGGGTGTGCCCGGTGGCCGGACCTGCACAGGCTAAGTCCTTAAGGCCGGAGAGCACCTGGCTTGTAGGAGAAGCAGGTGGTGTGACCAGAAGTAGGGGAGGAGGGGCAGGCATGGTGTGGGCGGACTTTGGAGTCTCTGAATGGTGTGTGCTATGAATTCCTGGTTTTACAGGATCTGTGCTGGGAGGGGTGGGAGGCAGAGGGGATGCCCAGAGCAGCTCCATTTTAAAGAGGAGTCAGAGATGCTGAGACTTTGGTCTGAGCACGGGGAGGGTGCTGCTGTTGGGTGGGGGCTGCAGGTCTGGGAGGGCCCAGGTCCCCCGTTTTGGATGCATGGAGGTCAAGGTGTTGCCATGGAATATCCTGTGGGGGTTGAATGCAGTTAGAGTTGCAATCCTGGAATTTGGGAAAAGGGTCAGGTAGAGATTTGGGAGCTGTCAGATTAGGGATGGGCATTTAAAGGCAGGTGGCTTCTGGGCTGCCAATGCTGGGAAAGGTGAGGAAAGACATCCTTACAGACACCCACAACACCCCACAACACCCCAGTACAGAGGGAGTAGCCAGGGATAGGAGAACCAGGGACAGCCACCAGGAACCGAGAGGGATACTTGTTTTCTGTCCTGGGGAGGCCCCTTCCCAGTCCAGAGCTTTGTGTCCCCCTCCTACCCCTGCTTTGTCTCCCAGGACATAGTCACCTTGTATCCTTTTTGGCCTGGGGAGGACCTGTCCCATGGAGAAAACTGCCCTCGACCATAGAAGGTTCGCTGTTGGCCAGGGCTGTGTGTGTTCAGGGACGTACAGGGAATCTCAAAAGTGACATGGATTGAGCTTTCAAAATGAATAGCCTCAGATGGGGTGGGCTCCCCCATCTCTGGGGATCTGGCACTGGGGCACAACTGTTGGAACTAGTTCCCCAAGTTTCTTCAATCTCATGTGGCTGGGGCCTGATTGCCATTGTGCAGATGGGTAATCTGAGCCCAGGGCGGTCCTGCAGGCTGGCAGGGCTTGAACTGTGAATCTAGACCTTTCTGAGTTCTAGGAGGGTTTCTTCCAAGTTGAGCTGGTGGCCTGACTGAGGAGGGTGGGCTGGAGGTAGGGGTGGGGAGAGAACTGACTGCTGCTCCTGCCCCCAGGCCTTCCGTGTGGCTGAGGACCAGTTGGGTATCCCTGCCCTGCTGGACGCCGAGGACATGGTCGCCCTGAAGGTGCCCGACCGGCTGAGTATCCTCACCTATGTGTCTCAGTACTACAACTACTTCCATGGACGTTCCCCCAGTAAGTTGAGGGCTGCAGGACGGGTGCTAGAGACCACCCAGGGGCCACCGTCCCAGGCCGTCACAACCACCAGGCCCTCCCTCTGTACACCCTCCCTCTGCCTGCACATCTGCTCCCTCTCAGCTCATGTCCAGCGCTGTTTGCTGCCAGAGGTGCATGTCTGACGTGGAGCAGCAGGGAGGCCTTTCTGGTGCTGCATGTAGACTCCCTGCCCCAACCCAGTGCTGCCGTGTCTCCCAGAGGATCAGGGACTCCCCCCTGTCCTGCTGCAAGGGCCCGTAGTCCTCGCATCTGCCTACTTGGAACAGGCTCAGCCCATCCCCTCTCCCCAGTCCTTCCCTCCCTGGGCCTCACTGCGGGTCTGTGCCCATCCCTCTTGCCTTGGATAGCTCAACAGACCAGGTGTGGGTCTGATTCCAGATGCTCCCACCAGAAAGGGAGGGGGGGGGTGCTCCAGTTAGCAGGGCAGGGGTGGGGGGGGTTGGGAGGGGGAAGGAAGGTCAGGCCCAGGGATTCCATTCCAGCTGCTTTGAGCATGCCACTCAGCTCCTTCCCCTCCCCTCACATTCCTCTCACCCTGACCTTAGAAATCCGGGAATCCTTCTGGACACAGGGCCAGCCCCGCCTGTATAGTCCCCATTCCCTGACCCGGATCTGGGCTCTCAGGGAGAGCCTCTGGAAGAGAGGCCTCTGCTGGGAATGTGCCACCCCCTCTCCAGCTCCCCAGACAGCAGGAGCTGCCCATCCCCACTCTGTCCAGGATACAGCCCTCCTACTGGGCTAGGGATCCCCAAGGGAGACTGGCACTGGGCCAGGCACCTGACCTGTGTCTCCTGTCAGTCGGTGGCCTGCATGGTGTGAAGAGGCCCTCCACCTGCTCTGACGAGGAACCTTCTGGGAAGAAGACCCTGTCCCAGCCATGCCGACCCTCTCCCCCTCCAGCCCGGGCGCAGCCGCTATCTCCAGTCAGAACAAATCCCATCGTGCAACAGAAGAAGGGGGCTGCAGAAGGTTCTCCCCTAAAGGCTGTAAGCATCCCAGCACCTCCCTTCCTTTGGCTCTCGGCGTTTCCACCAACTCTCACAGAGCAGGGCTGGCCTCTGACCACAAACCTGGGGTGGGGTCCGCAGCAGCTTTAGCTGCTACTGATCAGGAGCCTCCCAGGACTGAGTTCCTTTAATCCTGCAGGGCCGGGACATGATCCCCATTTCACAGATGGGTAAACAGGGAGGTTGCCCTGGCCAGCAGATCTTGAGTCTTGGACCCAGACTTTTTTGGGCTGCAAGAGGGTCCCTCCCTCCCAGGTGGGGCGGGGGAAGCTTGCTGGAGGGCCCTTCTCTTAGACCAGTCCTGTAAATGACAGCACCCCCACTTTTCAGAAATGAAGACTGAGGACCCCTGATAACTGGTAGTTGGGCGCCCCCTGCTGTCCCCACACTCTGAGGTGCCCCAGGGTGTTTGGCATTGGATTGAGTTTTCCACCTTGGCAGGGAAGAGGGAGTGCTGGAATCTGCCTCCTAGCACCTCTCCGGACCCCTAAGATCAGCTCCCAACTCCTTTCCCTGGGCTCCAAGTTGGCCTGGGATGACCCTTGCAGGCTGCTCTTCTGGGGTTCAATGTCCAGTCTTTAAGGCCCTGCTGGTGGGGCACCTGTCAGGAGGGTGGGCTGCGGCAATATGAAGGCTCAGACACTCAGCTGGCCCCCTCCCAGGGCCTGGCCTCAGTGGGCAGCTCGGTCAGCAGCACCTGTGGAATCTGCGGAGAGCACGTGCACCTGGTGCAGCGGCACCTGGCGGATGGGCGGGTCTACCACCGCAGCTGCTTCAGGTAGGCCCCACTCACATGCTGCCCCTCCAACCCCCCGACACCTCCCAAAGCTCCATCAGTAAAGTCCAGCTGTTCATGGACATGCCTTCAGCTGAACCCTGACCTCCCCACTGTCCCCTTTGAGGGGACGGTGTCCTTCTATGCACTGACTTGCCCCTTCTTGGTGGGGTTCTTCATTCTGTGACCTCTCCCACAGCCTGGGCCCCTGCAGGGCACAGGGGTGCCCTCATGGTCATTCCTAACACTTAGCAAGTCTTAGCATCCTCTGGGGTGTCCATGTCCCTCATGAGGTTCTTGGTGGGGTCTGGCGGTGGTACAGGTGTATGTGGGAGCCTGTGCGGATGAGCTTCCTCATGATGTTTCTCTGCTGCCCCAGGTGTAAGGAGTGTTCTAACACACTGTACTCGGGGGGCTACAGGCCCACAGGAGAGCCAGGTGTCTTCATCTGCAACAACCACCACCCTAAAGTCACCTCTGCAAGTCCCAAGTTGCTAGGCTCAGCCCCCCGACGGCCTGAAGCCATCTCTACGGACTCCAAGGCCCCCAGCACCCCATGGAAGGTGAATGGGCAGAGAGATGCAGAGCTGAAGTCCAGGCTTCCAGCCCGGGAGCCATCTGTGGGCAACTCGACTGCCAAAGGTTTCCTTTCAGCTGCAACTGACCCACCAGCCACCACCTCCTCATGCAACCATGTGGGGCGCCCGCCTGAGCTCAGGCTCTCCTCGGGCACTGTGGGCAGCAAAGCCAGCATGCGTGTGACTAATAGCTCCCCAACAGGGTGGTCATCGCCAGCACAGGACACAGCAGCAATGAGCCCCCGTCCTGCCACGACCCCAAGTGCTCTGGATTCTCACCCAGCCACGCCACAAGGCCGGGCAGCCTCCCAGACCAAGTTCAGTTCAAGTTTAGTGTCTCCAAGCCCAGCGGATGCCTCGACTTGGACTCCATCAGCCTTTAGGACGCAGGAGGCCCGGGAGAAGTTCTTCCAGACGTCCGGAGTGCCTCCTAGCCCTGGTGCAGCCGGCAGGGCCCCAGTGCCAGCAGATGCTCCTCCCAGGGACAGCAGCAGGGAACAGGCACTGAACTTCCTTAGGAAGACCCTTCCAGATTCCTCGGAGGCTGGCAGGTGGGTGGGGTGGAGTGAGGACTGGGGTTGCAGCCTCTATCACCCACTGGGACCCATAGGAGCTAGAAAGGTTGGGGTGTCTGGGGAGAGTTTCCAGGCTCTGCCTCCATCTGGCTATGTGATGGGGGGCCTCAGTTTTCTTCTCTGGAAAATGGGGAGAATGTGTAGTGCTGTGTGCTCTTGGCTGTAGGCGTGGTGAGTCTGCCACACACTCGGTCCTGTCTGAGGACCAGGCTACAGACAGGGTGACAGGCTCCGAGTGGTGAGTCAGCTGGACCTCAGCACAGCTCTGAGCCTCCCCTGTGATGGCACAGTGCCCCCCCCCCCAGAGCCTGTGCACACCACACACAGAGCAGACGCCGTCAGAGGTCACTGAGTTAGTGTCGTGGGCCTGGACGGCCAAAGCACCTCCGACCGGGGACTGAAACAACAGACATTCATGCCCTCTCAATTCTGGGGTCAGAAGTCTGAAAAGAGGTGTCGGCAGAGCACACTCCCTCCGAAGGCTCTGGAGGGGACCTTTCCTGCCTTTTCTGGGGGCTCCCGGTTTGCCTTGGCTTGTGGCTACCTCCTCTGTCTCTGCTGCTCTCCTCACATGGCCTCCTTGTGTCTGTCCACTTTCTATCTCTTGTAAGGACGCTGCCATTGGACTTAGGGCCACCTTAGTCCAGGATGACCTCGTCTTACCTTGATTACATCTGCAAAGACCCTATTTCCAAATAAAGTCACGCTCTGAGCTTCCAGGTGGACATGAATTTTGGGGAAACAGCACCCCACTACAGTCACCTAGCGAGTAAGGAGATTCCAAGCCAGGCTGGCTGACATATATGCCTGTGCCCCTTCTCTGTGGGGGTGGCCTGACCCCTCAGAGCAGCCTGACCCCACTGGATCAGTGGCTGGAGCCCATAGAGGCCATACCCTCCTGCCACTCTGGCACTGGGGTATCTAGGGCACCTGGGAGCTGAGGTCATGGTGTGTGGGTTCTTCAGGGAGTGCTCCCTGGAGCAGTGTGTCTGACTGGGTGGGCCCAGTCCTGGGAACCCAGCACAGTCACCCTGGGAGAGAGTGGGTAAGAGGATAAATGGATCGCCAGAGGGGAGGGGCACACAGAGGGGCTGCGCTGGCTGCAGGAGGTATCTGGTGTTCCTGCTTTGGACCCCCTGGCTGTGAGCAGCCCTACCTCTTGCATGTGTGCACTTGGAGGGAGGGAGACAGGATGACCAGAGATAGGTACCTTGTAGAGACCCCATGAGTGTTGCTTAGAACAGGGCTAGGTTGGCCTGTAGCTCTGGGCAGGGGGCCTCCGCTGTGCAGTCTCAGGTGCTTCTAGGCAGATGAAGGGTGGAAGACGAAGGTGGAAGATGAAGGCACTGGGGTGCAATTTCTACCTGTGCACTCCATGCATAGTATGTTTCAGGGACATTTTAATCTCAGGCAACATTGGAGTTAAACAGGAGGATAAAATCAACTGCTGATACATGGAGGCCCATGGTCAGTACTGTGGAGACACAGACTGTTCTACCTCAGGAGGGTGGGCAGTAGGAACCAGCTGCCAGGAGGCTTCTGCCTGGGGGCCATGGTGGGAGGGATCCTGGATCCATCAGTGCCTGACACCTGATTTTTCGCCCACAGGCCCCTCCCAGCTACCTCCCCTGCTCCAAATTCCCATTCCAGAACTGAAAGGCCACGAGCAAGTCCGACAGTCAAGGTGTCACAGTCGCTGTCTCCCCAGCCCCTTAGCCCCACTGCGAAGACTGAGCCGTTGGCCCCCCTGAGTGCCGGCACCACCTCGCGGGTACCCATACTACCCGAGACAGGCAGGAAGAGCTCGACTGTGCTCTCAGAAGTCGGCAGGGCGGGTACAGGATCCAGGCTGAAGCCAGAGGTCTCATTGGCAAAGGGTCAGAGCCTGCTAATGTATGGTGGGGGCGGGGCGGGGTGGGAGGGTCTGCTGTTCCATGCTGTCACTTAGGGTCTCCTGTGTGTCATGGCCATTCTGCTCCCCAGCCTACATTTCTGCAGCAATTTGCTGTTTCACAATGTGGCTCTGGGATTCCCCTCTTCATGTCTGTCATTCGTTACAGTGCTTTGGAGTGTTCCCTGGTTCCTGCTTTCCTGTCTCCCTTGCCTCCATTTTGTGGTGGCAGATATCCCATGGGGTGGCAGGACTTCACACCACCCCCAGCTTGTACTTCTTGTTGGATGCCCCTTGGCCAGCCCCCCACAGCATGGTCCATGCCAGGCGGGCAGTTTCCACTCCAGCTCTGCTCTCATCTGTGTGGCCTTTCCTTCTCCCACGGGGTTTTGGCACCTGCCGTTCCTGTGTGTGTCTGCCTGGGCCTGAGCCGGTGTCCCTGTGCTCTGAGGTCTTCACACTTCCCTGGAGCCCACTGGACCACACATCCCTGTTTCATGGCCTTATGCTCAGGGTACCTGGACTGCCTCTTAGGGGTGCCCTTGACACTACTGAGCTAGCTCAGAACATACCACACAAAGCATTCCTCCTTTGGGTCTTTCCCTTGGCTGAGCCAGGAAGGCTTTAGACAGGCCTCTGCTGCCCAGCTGTTCATCCACAGAGACAGGAACAGTCATTGTCCAGAGGGCTCAACCCACCACACACTCACCCATTTGGTAGCAGGGGAAGTTGAGGCCCAAAGAGGGTGAGTGATGCCCCAGGCACACACGGCACAGGGAGCTGGGCTGGTGGTGGAGGTGCTTGAGGGGGTGCTTGCAAGAAGATAGGAAGGTGAGGTCCAGCCTTTCCAATAGACTCCCTTACCTGGACCCACCACATATGAACTATCACCTGCCCACCACCCAGGTCCCAGTGCCAGTCCTCAGGAAGACCAGGTGGATGGGCCAGCAGGATGGAGGGCCCGCCTGAAGCCCGTGGATAAGAAGCACTCCACTGAGAGGTAGGGGCCGTGGGTGGTCAGGGCTCTGGCTAGAGCACAGCTGTGCTGGTGGTTTGTACGCACAGGCACCTGCGCAGGAGCCCGTGGCCAGGGTAGCACAGGGCCTGACGCACAGTAGGCTCTCAGCACATGCTACAGATGAATGACAGCATGCGTGGTGTGTGCACATCTCTGCGAACATTCCAGCTGCAGGAGCAGAAGCTGTTTCATACAGGCCTAGTCGGCTCACACCCATCTAGTCACAGTGGTGCTTGAGGGGAGCTCACACTGGCTGAGTGATACAGGACCACGTGCCCTGATGGAACCAGAATGTCAGCAGGTGGGGCAGCTACAGGGAGAGTCCATTACTCTCTCAAGACCCTCCATCATTGGAGCAGCTGGCATGTGCTCACCAGGCCTGACCCTGGAGCTGGGGCTAGGACCTCCCTGCACTGTGGATTGGTAATAGGAAAGGGGTGACTCCCCCCAGAAACTTTGTTTAGGACGGGAGGCTGAGAGAACGACTGTAGCTTCCAGGGGACGAGGCCACACAATAGGAGTCCGCCTGGCTGCTGGCACGTTGGCCGGGTCAGCTGGACAGTGGCTGCCCAGGTGTACTGTGGCCATGGTGTACCTGGGCGGGTACCGGGGTTGCAGGTGTGCACTGGGGTGTTCTGGGCCTGGGGTGGGTGTGTGCCCATGTGTGCCTCAGCTGTGACTTCCTGAGCCTGTGTTCACGCCATGGAGCTGGGTGCACAGGTAACACGCCCGCACCCTAGGGGGTCCTGGAACCAGCCCACAACCCCTGAGGGCACAGCAAGTTCCCTTCACCTGGGTAGGTGTGGGGGTGGCCCGTCCCTCTCTCGCTTGACCGCTTGCCTCCCACCCAGGGCACTGGAGCTAAAGGAAACCTCGCCGAGGGCCAGTGATGTACCCAAGAAGGTCTCGGGGAGCTCCCAGGGGGGCATCCATGTCACCCTGACACCACAGCAGTCTGACAGTGCACCAGGCCCCACTGGCCCGAGGGCTGGCCTCTCAGGTAATGGCTGGACAGGTCCTCAAGGGCTCCAGATGCCTTCCTGGTGCCCCTGGGCCTGGGCAGTCCTCTGCTCTGGGGGCAGGTATCCTAAGGGTTGGGAACTGTGTGGCCACCGTCTTGGGGAGGCGGGGAGGAGGGGATAGTGTCCTGCTCAGCCAGAAGAGCTGGTCCTGGGTGGGTAGTGTGTGTTGTGTGTGTGTGTGTTGCGTGTGTGTGTGTGTGCATGTACACATGCATGTGGAGTGTGTCTGCACTCCCAGGTCCTCACCCAGCCCTCACATCACTTTCTCTGTGACCTTGAGCACTTCACGCTGGGCTTGTGTTTCCCCTGCTGACCAGAGTCACCATCCTGCTCCCCAGGTGGTCATGACCAGTGGAGCAGAACAAGAGCCCAGGGCTGTGAGGGCTGTGGTGCTCTGGCGGGGAGGGGGGTGCTCAGGGTTGCAGTGTGGCTGACATGTGGCTCTCTTCTGTCCATGGCCAGTCTCATCCTCATCTCCGTCCCAATCCCTGTCCCACCGCAAGAAGCTTAATATCCCTGCCAATTTGGATATTTCTGGTGACTGGCTTCAGCCCAAGCCCTCAGGGACCTGGAACAGCAAGGAGGAGAAGAAGCCCCATGCTCAGGGTGACCCAGGTCAGCCCAGCCACACTGGCCCCTGTTTGTTTTGGGGTTGGGAGAAAGGGGACTCTTGTGGTGGGGGTTTGGAGGGTGGGTAGGAATTTATCAGCCCCAGAACGGAGGGAAAGTATGCCTGGGAAGTGAACAGCATACGCACACATGGAGATGGCCAACCTGCAAATTTTAGATGGAGCAAGAGGACTGGAGGACTGGGCTGCAAGCTCAGGCCCTTCCCCAGGGGAAAGGAGCGGGGTGGACAGGCCCCACTGCCGCCCTGCTCCTGAGGCAGAGATGCCTGGCAATGATGGAGGGGGTGTTGGTGCTGGTGATCTGGAGAGGAGCAGGACCAGGGTAGGCATGGGGACCTCATGGGGGTGCCTGGGTCTGTCTGTGAGCTCTGGGCACCTGTGCAGAAATGCCCAGGGCATGAAGTAGAGTGCAGGGGCCTCCCAGGGCAGTGGGTTGAGTGAACCCAGTGTTGGAGGTTGGGCTGCCTTCCAGGCCATGTTGGGGTCGTGTGGGGTCTAATGACCCCAAGGTCTAAGGGAGTCATCCTACCCTCCTCTAGGGAGGGCTACATGGTTGCAGGGCCCAGCTGATGTCCGCAGCCCACGTGGCAAAGCAGTGACCTCCCCGGTCAGGGTGAGTAGACTGGGTGGAGGTGAGCAGGAGCTCAGCCCTCTGGGGACCCGGCACCTCTGATTGCCCCTCACCACCTCTTCATCCCCAGTTGCACCCTGACTACATGCCTGAGGAGGAGATCCAGAAGCAAGTGCAGAATATTGGGGTGCAGCTAGACGCCCTAGAACTCCGGGGTGTGGAACTGGAGAAGCGCCTGCGGGCAGCAGAGGGAGGTGAGCCCACTGCCAACCCCAGGTTGGCCCCCACTCTCCTGAGTCAGGCCCCTCTCTCCCCAATGATTTCCTGATGCAGCCCTGGTCCCCCACCCACAATGGTCCTCCCTTTTGACCCCAGCTCTTCTGGGGTGGGCCAACCCCTTGCCACTGGACTGGGCTCTGCCAGCCTGACCCTGGGGACACCCTTGGCCTGGGCCCTGACCCAGGCAGGCCACCCCTGCATGGCCTCTGCCTGGCCCTGCTCAGCCCAGCCCCTTTCTGCAGATGAGTCTGAAGACGCCCTCATGGTGGACTGGTTCCGACTCATCCATGAGAAGCAGCTGCTGCTGAGGCAGGAGTCGGAGCTGATGTACAAGTAGGAGGTCCAGCTACTACACCTTTGCCTGCATGCAGGGCCCCTCCTGGAAGGCCCCTCCTCTCAGCATGGGTGGGTGGGCAGGTGGGCATGGGTGGCCTGTCCAGGGAGCCAGCCTCACACCTGTGTCACCTGACAGAGTCAGGAACCAGCACCTGGAGGAGCAGCAGCTGGACATTGAGGAGGAGCTGCGCCAGCTGATGGCCCAGCCTGGTGTGTTTCTTCCCTGAGGGGGAACCCGAAGGCAGGGAGGTGGGCAGAGGGCCTCAGCCTCGGGAGGTGGCCATGCATGGCCTTTTCAGGGCCCCCTTGAGGGCACTCTCTGAAGAAGCTGAGGGTGGTGATCACACACTCAGTAACCTGGCTGTGTGTCCATGACCAACTCACTCGACATCTCTGTGCCTGGGTTTCATCCCTGCAAAGTGGGGGGAGTAGTGACTCCCTCCTGCAGCTGCTGTGAGGATTTACGAGCCGATGTGTGCATGTGTGGGCACTGAGCATTCCGGAAGTGTGAGGCTTGGCGTGTGGTTGGTGCAGCTGGGAGTTGGGGTTCTGGCAGTCCCCGCCCTCTGACCTTTCCTCTCATGGGGATGGGGGGCAACAGTGCCCTGAGCCTCAGTTGCCACATCTCTCCTATGGGCAGATATTGTGGGTGTGGGTGAGATGACCTGGGCAAGGGTAGCCACACTCAGTCTCTGATATGGTTGTTCTTTCGTTCATTCATTTATGCCTTCGTTCCTCCATTTGCTCATTCATTTTCATTCCTTCACTCATTCCTTCACTCAGCATTGCCAGGCACCCACCACAGGCTGCGGACTCTCACAGGCCCAGATGCCCCCAGGACTCTGCCCCCCTCCTCCAGCAGGGGGGTATTGTGTCCTTGAGCAGGTGGGGACAGCAGGGCTCAGCTAATGGCAGGCTGTCCGTGCAGAGGCCCTGAAGTCCCCTCAGGACCTGCAGCGGGAGAAGGATCTGCTGGCCCAGTATGTGAACACTGTGAACGACCGCAGCAATATCATCGACTCCCTGGATGAAGATCGACTGAGGTGAGGGTGGGTCCAGGCGAGGGGTCAGAACCCAGGTGAGAGAAGGTGGGGTCCAGCTGAGGGGGACTGGAACTCAGGTGAGAGCAGGATCAGCACTACTGATGGAACTTTCTTTAGGTTGGAATGTTCTCTGTCTGTGCTGCTAGGAACTTGCTGTCAGTCTGACTAGGCATTTTGGTCTGACTCCAAGGGCCAGATTTTACATTAGATTTTTATTTAAAAGGACATAGCCACATCTGTCTCCTGGTGCAGGGCCAGCTGCCAACTCGTAACCATCCCATGGCTTCCTAGGTCTGTGCCTAGGCAAGGACCTGTTCAGGCCACTTGGGGGTCGGTCACCCAGGACAGTACTCAAACATGTCATTCCATGACCTAAAAGGGCCATAGCAGAGGTCACCCAGGCCCCTCCTGTCCCCAAGTCACTGTCCCAGGTCATCCCAGGCTCCTCCTGCCCCATGTCACTAATAAGGGACTGACCCTGAGGAACCAGCTCTCCAGGGGGAGGGGAGGGTGTGCCCTGGTGGCGGTTGTTGGCATGTAACTCCTGTTAGATGCACTCAGCTGAGGTGCGAGGCTCCGAGATAGACCCATCACCCCTCCCAAGCCCCCTCCCTGAGGGCACTTCACAGCCTCCCCTATTCCTGTTTCAGGGAGCAAGAGGAGGATGAGATGCTACAGAATATGATCCAGAACCTGGGTAACTCTGGGGTCATGGGCAGCATGAGGAGGTTGGGGCTGTTGGGTGCATTGGGCCTCTGTGGGAGTGGGTGCTTCAAGGAGCCTGCTCCCTGTTACTTAGAGAAGCTTAGAAGTAGCAGTGACTACATGGTTGGGGTGCAGGAGCACTTAGCAGGGCCGTGCCCTCCAGTGGTGCCCAGTCTAGGGGACACTCTGAAGGCGGGGGTCTGGCTTGTTGCTGTAGGGGTGGGTGGAGGATCTTGGCTTCTGCTGGTGCGAGGGAGAGCACTAACAGGTGGGAGGTGGGGTAGTCCCAGCAGGAGGAGGTGCTGGGAGCAGGCAAGCTGAGTCTGTGTCGTCCTTCCAGACCTCCAGAGAAGCGGCGGGGACCAGAAGAAGAAGAGCAAGAGCTTCAAGTCCCGCTTCCCCTTTGTCCGAAAGAACAGTAAAAAGACCATTAAAAAGACCCCTGAGTGAGCTACCTGCCGGGCTGCAGAACCCTCGCTTGCGGCCAGATAGGTGCTGTGGGAGAGGAAACAGGCAGTGGGGACCTGCAGCTCCTCTCTGTGGGGCTAAGCCGCCTCAATAAAGAAGGTGGCCATGTAGCCCGGCGCTGTCTCTCATTTATGGGACTGGAGGTCTGGGCTGAGCTCTAGCACTGCACCAACAGGCTGTGCCTTGGCGGGTACCAGCCCCTCTGGGCCTGTCCTGGGCTTCTGAGGTAGGGATTTTAGCCTCTTTCTGGCCTGGTCTCAGGAATGGGCGGATCTATGGGAACTGCTTGTAGGTGCTGGTCACGTCTGGGGTCTCCACAACTTGACATCTGTGACCTTGGCCCTCCAAGCTCTAGGAAGGACAGATTTGAGCATCGGCCCTGGCCTGAGTTCCTGATGTCCTGCAAGGGAGTGGTGCTCACCACCCTCCGCAATTTCGATGAGAGGGACGCAGTCGGACAGGGAAGGACTAAGGGGAGGCCCTCAGACTCAAGTCCTCACCCAGCTCAAGGTGACCCGAGAGCTTCTGCCTTTGGCCCTTGGTCTCCCCATCCATCAAGGGGCGGGGTTGTGACTGTGCCTGTGCTGTCTCTGGTCTCTGTGGGAGCCTGCCATGGTGTTCCTGGTGGGCCCTTGGCAATGGCAAAACACCAGCACTCACCCATCTGGTGGCAAGTGGATTCACCAGGGACAGAGCTGGGAGCACCTGCATGAGTGTTCGGTCCCACAGAGCTCACACTGCATCCTGCTGCCTTCACGGGGCACTGTAGGGTCTCAGATGGGGATTCTTGGGACATGAGGTGGGAGCATGACATGCATGGGAGGGTAGTTGCCTGGTGTAGCAATGAATTCCATTCAGAACTCTGCTGTTCAGCTGTGTGGCCATGGGCTAGAATGCTGCCCTCTCTGAGCCTTTGGTGTGCTGTGGGGGACACTAATAGCAATGGTGGTGGAGACACTCAGAGCTCTGAGGGCATTATGCTTGTCCTCCAGCTACAGCAGGGTACCTCCTGGAGAGAATGGAGGGTGGGTGATTGGGAGAAGGGGCTGCCCCAAGTGGTCAGCAGGGCTGGAGACACTTGACCAGGTGGAGCAGCTTGGGCTCGTTGTGTGGGTGCTGGGCATTGTGAGCAGTTCTGAGCATGGGGTGGGTGAGATGTGTGTTAGGAAAATAGTCATGTAGGGTGGCCTGCCTGACCCTCTGGCTGAGACCCTTGTCCCTGCATGTCCTCGCAGGCGTGTCCCACCGGGACCCTCAGCAGTGTGTCCTCTTTCCCACCAGGGGGAGGCAGAGTGCCACTTGGCAGAGTGGTTCCAATTTACTGATAAGGAAACTGAGGCACAGAGAGTCGTTGAGATCCCCCTGAAGTCACACAGTAAGTTAGATGTGCCTAGGACCGAAACCTGGGACCATCTCCAGGTTTCCTGGGACTGCATCCCCCATGTGGCTCTGGGAGCCCCTCCAAGGGTAGGGTCTTTGAGACTGTCTGGGCAGGATCCAGAGAGTGTATTGTCTAGCCCTTTGGTGGTCCTGCTGAGACGAACCTCAGAGGCCTCTGTCCTGACCTGGGATTCTAGAGCAGCCGTGGGGGTGCCCTGTGGACACAGGCTAGTGCTTGGTTAACAAGTCCCCAGGCCCGAGCTCCTGCAAACCCTCCAATACCATACTGATAGCACCACATGTTTGTGTCCTTGGCATGCATGTAATTCCCAGGTCCTAGGGCACGCATCCAGCCAGTGGGCAGAGCAGGCAGTAACATGGGGCCACTGGGGTGGCCCCTGGGGGTACAAGTTGGGTCTGGCTTCTCTGCTGCCACACCCACAGCTTGGAAGAAAATCTGTCCAGGTCTCACTAGCCCTGGGCCCACCCCACACATGAGGGCAGTGCGGACACAAGCCCAGGGCTGCTGGGCTGTTCCTGGACAGCGACTCCTGCCTATGCATATAGGAAGGGCTGGCTCTGTGCAAGTTGGCCTGTCTCCCAGACACACCAGTGTTCCCATCGGTGGACGTGGGGGTGTATTAAGGGAGGCTGTCTCCTGGATGGCACCCCTAACACACTCTGAAATCCACACATGGCCCTGTGGGTCAGAGGGAACCGTGTAGAGGTTTGGGCGTATTCCAGTGGTGAGTGGGCCTGTGGGGCTGCAGCAGGAGGGGACAAGGGGCGCCCGAGTGGCCCAGACAGGCCCAGGCACTGACCTGCAGGGAAGGAGGTGGGCTCCTGCCAGCTCCCATGGAAGCCAAGGCCCCGGCTATCTTCCCAGCATCCCTCCAACCTCACATCCTTCCCCCTCCCTCTGCTCTAGCCTCTCTGGCCTCCTTCAAGCAAACCTTAGGGCCTTTGTCCTTGTTTGGGCCTCCGCCTTGAGCCCTGTCCTGCACAAGGCTGGCTCCTTCTCAGATCTGTGCTTGAAGTACCCTGCTCAGAGAGGCTTCCAGGCCCCCCGAGTCTGCCTACCACCCTAGCTTATTTTTGACACTTGAAGTCACTTTCTGAGTTTAGACATTTATCTTGTTTTCTCCTCTGAGAGGATGTTCCCCAAGTCAGGGCTCTCATTGTCTGTTGCTCCTTGGGGTCCCCAGGACCCAGAGAGTGCCCAGCACAAGGTAGGAGGTGAGTGAGGGAGGGGGTGGAACCTGCCGCTGAGGTGGTGATGCTGGGCTGGCAGCGTCTTTCTGGGGCCCAGCTTTCCCCGCTGTGACGGGGATGCAGTCCTGCGGGTGTCTGCCGCCCTTGAAACCTGCCTGAACCCAACAGGCACAGACTGGTGGGGGTACCCAGGTCTGGCCCGCCCTGCTCTGGCTGGGCACATGCAGCACCTCCCACACTACCCTCCAGAACTGAGCAAGGGACAGAAGGGGTAGGGCACAGGAAGGGGTTCCAGGTCTTCAGGGGGATTTTCTGGGCATCTCAGAGCTGGAGGCCTTACCTTCCACACTCAGAGAGGGCACTAGGCCTGCATAACCAGGACAACCCCACTGGGTCTGGATCCCACTTCCAGCCCGTTGGCTGGGATCTGCTGGCCTGTAGGGTGCTGAGCCTGTGCTGGGACCTTGGGACCCCAGACTGTCATAGAAAGGGCTTTACTCCTGTGACCCCCATCCATCCCAGCCCCTGTGAGGGCCCCCCAGGTGCAAATAACTGGAAGCTACAGTGGTAGCATCTTCACCTGAGCTGCTCCTACCGAGCTTCCCTTCACCCCTCAATCTCCATGGGCTTGACCCAACCTTCCTCCCTCAGCCCAGGTTCTAGATGGGGAGTGTGCATGGGCGGGGTCAGTCTTACTGGTGAGACTGGCCTGGCCCTTCCCATGGACAGCGCCTCAGTCAAGTCCCCTTCCATTCTAGACGAGGGAATAAGGCAGAAAGAGAGAAAGGGACTTTCCTGGGGCCATACGGCCGGCAGGACAGTGGCAGCAGGCCTTCTTTGGGGTTAGAGGTGCAGAGGGCTGCCAGCTAGGAAATAGGCTCTTCACAGAAGCTGGGAAGTCATAGAAAGTGCTCTGTCCCTTGGACAAGAAAGGAAACTGCGTCTCAGAGGAGAGCCAGGCTCACATGTGGGTGCGGGCAGGCCTGGGTTTTGGTCCCTGATCCTCCATCAGGAGCGGGCAGGGAGCAGAGCCTGGACTCCCCTGGGCTCTAGAGCCTCCCCATTGTCTGGCTGGGACCAGGGCGGCCATCATAGTTACCCATAAATGGATTTCATGTGGCCTAGACCTCTGATCCCAGCATTGAGGTCTGCCCAGGTCACTGCATGCAGCCTCCTGGGTCTGACCCACAGCCCTCCTGGACCTGATGGACCCCAGGGCTGGCATGCCTTTCAGAGCCTGCTCACCAGCAAGCCTTGAGGGACCTCACTGGAGCTGAGATCAGACACAGAATGGAGCCCACAGCACTATTTCCTCCCTGGCCTGGCCTGCCCTAGAGGGGCCTTCCTGCCCTCCCTTGGGTGCTCTCGCTCGCACAACCCTCTGGCCTAGGGCTGTGCACACCAGTGGCTGGGGAGCTTGTGAAGACCTGGAGGGGCAGCCTCAGTCCTGGAACTTGATGGGGCACATGGACATGAGCTCTGGGTAGTTGCCCCCCTTTAGCCCAGTCCTAATCCCACCAGGAGTGAGGGTACAGCTTGAGAACAGGGCCCTCGTCCCTCCTCTCACAAAAAAAGCTGCAAACCTGGCTCTTTTGTGCACTGTCTCTCTCAGGCTGGCACCTCTGTCCCCCTAAGGCTGCTCTGGCTCCCACCTACCCCTCAGCCTGGAGACCAGACTCTTAGGGGCCGACCTGCCCTGGGCCTCCCCTATCCTGCTTTCTTGACTCCCTCCCCACCCCCCAGGTCCTGAAAGCCTGTCTGTTTGCTGGCCCACCTAACTGCCTTGTCATCCTCGGGTCTCAGGTCAGACCACATTTGCAACTAATGGGGTCTCCCAGTGGGTGGGAAGTGCTGATGAAGACAGATAAACGAACCCAGTCCATTAAATTGTTAATAAAGAATATCACACGCACACCTTCATCTGCAGCAGGCCTGACACTTTACAAAGTACATCAGGATGTAATCCAATTGAAACTGCAATATCGAGAACATCTTACCTTATCACAAATTGAAATTATATCATATTCCTCTTTTCTTAAATTAAAAAGCTAAAACCTTTTCGTTTGCTCACACATGGTTGTGTAAAACTTAATCAGTGGTTTTAACAACATTATATTTCCATATGGGCCATTTCTATTCTCATATATTTAGGAAGGAGAACTTTCTAGAAGGGTACGATTGGGTTAGCGAGTGGAGGCACTGGGGCTGATGTCCATCATGGTGGGCTTGCCCCTGGGCACAAATGGGGTGGCTGGGTCGGAGTCCCAGGCACTATGAGAGGTCGGGAGTGGTTTTGGTGTCTGTATGTTGCTGCTGTATCAATGACAGGGAAACGCAGACCTGCACGGGGCAGACGATGGTGGAAAGCCAGCAAGAACACGGGAGCAGAGCAGAGATTGGCCATTGTTGGAAGCCCCGCAGGACTGGAGGGACTAAGGCTAGGTCACTGAGCAACCAGCAGGTCAGCTGGCAACTTGAGCATGGGAGTGATCTGCTGGGTGGCCTGGAAGCCAAAGGCTTACAGCTTCAGCTTTGAGGAGACACCAAACTCCTCCCTGTCTGACACATAAGATGATGGTGACAGACAGGGATAGAGGCCACTAGTGCCAACTGCACCACATGGCAGCCACTGCCCACGCATGGCTCTCCTGCACCTGCCTTGTGGCCCAGAAGAATGAGGACATGCCCATAGCACAGGACACATGGGACTTCCATAGCTCAGCCCCAGGAGAGATGGTGACATAGTTCATTAAAGGTTTACACTAACCATGTGTTGAAACGGTGATATCTAGAAATGTTGGGCTAAATAAAATGTTATTAAAATTAATATTCCCTCTTTATTTTTTTAAATGCAGCTACTAGAAAGCTGAAGATTGCACACAAGGCCCTCATATTTGCGACTTACATTATGTTTCTTTAGGACAGGGATGCTCGGACACATTTAAATGGCTCATCATGATCCTAGTTACCATTTTGGGGTGTCCATAATGCTGGCTCTGGGGTCCCCTTACTTCTCACCACTTCCTGAGCATCATCACCCTGAGCCTCCCTTCCTCTCTGCCCATTTTCTCTCAAAATATTTCCTGAATGTGAGCTGCACTCTCCAGTGGCACCCTGGCTCCTGTTCCAGGTCTCCTGTGTGCCCAGCCTCATCTCTCCAAACTTCCCCAAATGCCAGAGGGTGCCAAAGGCCCTCTGAGTCCCCGCTATTGCACCCCAGGTAAATCCAGCCTCACTTGGAGACCCCAGCCCCTTTAGGCCTATGTGCTGCCGGCTGGGATGCAGGGAGAATCTTTACTTGTCTCAGGGAGATTTTGTGGCTGCCATAGTCACACCTTCATTCAGAAGGGTTCATGGCACATGCACGTGGCACATGCCACAGCTAATGAAAACAGCTCCTATCTGCACGGGGCCTCAGTGTGGTGAGTGGATGGGCTCCCGGGGAAAGGATGGAATGGCCTAAGGAGGTGTGCAGGATGGTGGGAGTTAACACTCATGGGTGGATGGGGGCAGCAGCAAAGGCCCTGTGGCTGGAGGGAGGGTGGACTGCCTGGGGGCCAGGGGACAGGCAAGGTCTGAGGAGAGCACAGATCCCATGAGGAGGGGCTGGGAGGTAAAGTGGGACCACGTGACCAAGCCATCTCTGCAGCTCACTCTGG